ATACAAAGAGAAAAATGGGCATACTCTGAAAATTCATGGTGGTGGTGAGATCAATTCCTAATAATTGACTGAAAAGAGAAAGATAAGAACACGTGTTTGTCCATGCGTCAGCGTATATGTGTGTGTGCACGTGAGAATGTGCATGTGTGTGTGTGTGTGTGTGTGTGTGTGTGTGTGAGAGAGAGAGAGAGAGAGAGAGAGAGAGGGGGGGGAGAGAGGGATACATCAAGGTGTTTGTAAGATGACAGCTATCACTTAACTAAACGTGAAAGTTAGCAAAGACTGAACGTTTTTGGCTTCTGTTGTTAACACCCCTTTGTGATCAACCTACCTATTGATCTACTGACCACCTTACAGTCGTGCCAGATAACGCACTGCACAAAGTGTCAAGGGGCCTTTGTGCTTTTGACCCCCCAAATGAAGTCTCCGAATCATTGTACATAAATCACTTACTTCTTTCAATTACGGTCCGGAAGTGAAATCAGGCTGACTCACCTTCTCATACCTTAACTATACAACTCCAGTGATGAAAGCTAAACAGTTAATAAGAATGATAATAGGGATTACGCTCTCGATGAAAGCGATGGCCGATTCACTGAGGAAAGTGCCGGTATTGCTGGCGGTGTGGTTGGAACAGGCAATTATACCCAAAACCGCAACACTCTAAAAATGACTTCCGTTTCAAGGTCTCTCAGTAACGGATTTTCTAATGAAAGGAAATTAATAAGAACAGACCTGTCCAACGAAGAACCTACACAACGTTGCATAACTAGAGCTTTTGCCGACAAAGAGTGAACTATTTCCGATGGCTTGTCCAAGTGCATGTTGGGCAAGAAGGAGTGGTGGGTTGACATGTGTACTGAACTACCCGGCGTTATGTGAACCTCACAACATAATGATGTGTCTGGGTGGACCTGGAGTCTGATAATTAGCGATATACATTGACGAATTTAAAGAAATTTACAGTATGATATCACCCACCCCTTCTAAACTTTTGCTGTACCTCCCTCCCTCCATATTTCCTTTCGTTCCGTTCTTTCATCTTCATCCTTCTCTCTCTCTCTCTCTTCTCTCTCTCTCTCTCTCTCTCTCTCTCTCTCTCGGTAGTCTCCTGCATACCTGAACATTGTTTTTTTATATGTAATCTTTTTCTCTGGGTAGATGCGAGCAGATTGCAGTTGTCACCAGACAGAAATATCAATTGTGTTTATACTTTATTTATGTTCACGTGTGTTAAAAGAGGGAGCAAGAGGGCCGTGTGCTTTTCAATCATGTTACAGATGTTGCACATGGCAATCTATATATATATAAGATATAATCAGGGGCGGATTTAGGCCGTCTTCTGGGTCTTCTAGAAGACGGTCAGATTTTCAAGTTTACATTGTCAGCCATCTAATGTTTCTGTCGGAAGACGGTCAAAAATTGGAAGATGGATCAACGAAGATAATTTGGAAGACAGTCAGAAAATATCTCTGGATCCGCCCCTGATAATGATAATACGATACTCCGACTCGAGTGACGTGAGGACTAGACTTCGGTGGCACACGGGCCTCTTATCCATTGTGGAAGATGCTGTAATGTGATACCAGCATGCGCTTACTGAAGTGGCACAGTGCGTCAACGCAGAATACACCGACAAAAACTTTTGTCGAAGACAAAAATCCTTTGAATTTGTGCCGAGCAGCTGTAGGCGACAGATACGTGTCGCAGGTGGTAAACTCTGCCACTCAAACGTAAGCTATAGCAGGAGACCAACAACCAGTATTTGTCTTTAGTGACGAGAAAATTATAGCACAATATAACAAAAAGTAGTTTAAAAAAAACACCGGTAATGATATGTTATATCAGCCTCAAGCCTAAGATTACCAAAAATAAACCAAAATGCAATAAATCGGCAAGTCTACATGCAGTCCGTAGATAATTATTGTTGTAAAACATGGCTTTAGATATAAAAAAAAATCACAGCGATTGTCAGGTATCTATCTTGTATTACTAAATAGAGCCATGTTGAACTAAAAGGCTGGTTCCGTCTGGCGAGAGAAGAACAAATCTCCGCAGGCAGTGGGTGGAGACCTGCAAACAAACAAACACGGAAGGCCCTAGGTACTGACGACAGCGGAACTGAATGCTTTACATCGATTATCTAGCCTTCGATTGCTACGGCATTCCGATATCTGCTTTGCTTTTGTTTGAAATCTGCTCCCAGAATAACTAACACAACACTCTATTTAAGACTGTTTAAACACTTTCAATCCGGCCTGATTAGCATATTGAGTTATTTAGTTGGAGTGTAATACCTCAAGATGCGAGCACCTGTGCTAAGAAGTAAAGCAGACGGAACCGACTATGACGGATACTTCATGACATTTCCCCTATGAGTTGACATTGGCGCTTGAAATAACAGAATTCGTTCTCAAAAATAACTCAGTCGATTAATACCAAACATTCTAGTGATAAAAGGAATCAATCGGAAACTTCCTCTCTACCTGTAAACCACATCAACAATTGATGCGAGCCTACAGGCATTCCTTGGTCACAAACCCCAACTGCAATATCAAAAAAAAAAGTTGTTTAGTAAAAGAAATGGGCCGTGCGCTCTTTTGAGAAACCACAAAGCATAGTTTGTGTGCGTGTGGCTTTTGATAAACAAAAAAGTACAAGAATCTCATTGATTAAAATCAACCGCAAATTGGCTTGGAATTTACGGTTTTGAAATTGTGGCACATGGTTCTTTGCTAAGCTACGTCTAAGTATGATTTCACTGTGAATATTCCTAGTGACACCGCTTTCAGTTGGCGTGGAATGTTATTGATTTTCGTAATCAGAGGAAATTGCTCTATCAGTTAGTTCATCAAGCAAGAAAAATAAAACCATTCGACTAGCGCGTAGTAATGAATGAATATTTTATTGTGAAACAACCTGTTCCTGGAATTTTTGTAATTGTATAATTATGACCAACCCACGAATCTGACAAACACTATCTGATATAACTACAACAATAAAAGCATACTTACAACAAAGTTAACAATGAACAAACATTGGAATGATGTAAAAGGATGGGTGAATTAGGTAAGGCATTAGAGAAAAATGGAAAACTAACAAAGTGAGAGGAAATGGTGAAGAGAGTTGTTGGGGGGGGGGGGTGACTGATGCAACTGCTTTTTCGCAGACAATAACACGGATTTTAAGAAATACACACAGAAAAAAAGCAAAAGCTTGTATTAGCGATTCAGTAAAATGAAAAAAGTATCTGAATAAGACAACCAAGGCAATCAACCACGTGTCAAACGGAATTCATCTTTCTGATTTTAAGAATTTTTTGGGACGACATACAGCAGTTTACATCACCGCAAAATTATAACGTATTCTGTAACGAGGACAGCTTTACAAACCGTAAAGTGTGTTTAACATTGATTTGAAATTCCGGATAAATGTTATCAGTATTCTTGCATTAAAAGTAATATGTCATACTGGTAAATGATAAATCAATGTACTTAATACGCATCCGGAATGCTAATAATAAGAAGAAACTAGCTTTTGGAAAACAAATACGTGTCTGAATCCCCGCATCCTTATCACATCGTGTAACAGGAATATACGTCAGTAAAATACCTATATCAAACAGAAGACACGTGAGATAACAAAAATATGACAATAGGATGGATCCGGGAAATACAACTTTTTATAACATACTCTGCGGTGAGGACGAAAAAAAGAGCGAAAAAAAAAGTTGAACTCCGATTTACTTTTGTATACTAGGCTTATGTTGTTGATGCATTGTTATTTTACTTCTTTGAAAAGGCTGCTTTACTTTCTACTCTCCGTTATTTCCCCATATGATTTTTTGGTAGTGTACATGTAGCTGTTTTATTTCGTCCTGACATCAGGGTAAATGAAGGTAAAAACATTGGCTTGGGTGCCATTCCGTCGTCTATAGCAGTAAAGACCACAAGTCACCTTGGTTAAAATGTCATAGAGCCTAACATTAAAGCCGTGAGGGAATCTTTTAATCGTAAAAAGATGAGCATTTCGTTTACTGATAAGGATGGCTTTGATTACAATGTGGCCAATATTACTTCAGTCTGACTACGGGTCAAAAACTAGGACTATTCGCTGCATTAACACTCTTCCATCCTTGTAATATTGTTTACATTACTATGAGAACAACTCCACTTGCAGTATTTCAGTGACTATTTAGGCCAAACACATGGCACAGAAATGATTCATGTTCGATCTCTGATTCAACAATACTGATATTCTATCTACAGTGTGAGTGAAAGTGACATGACTCGATCCCTCGCTTAAAATATAAGGTAGAGGTACTTTTTATAGTATCATTTTTTAAGTTGGAAAGAACTGTTAGTTGGATGCGTAGGGGCATGGCGAGAACTGCGTGATTCATGGTGAACAACTTGGCAAGAAGGAAAAAAGCTACGATAGATATAACTCTTTCCGAGCCCCGGGCAAATCAGACTCTATAGCTGAGGTGCCTGGAAGCTAATGCCCGGATTGTCGGGCAGGGAGCCATAGAATTTCGCAAACGCACACTCACACGAGGAAAAGAAATGGTAATAAAATCCCGACTATAACACATTAACCTTGGAATCATATCCAGTGTGTATTGTGTAGTAAGCGTGACGCCCTGCACCTTCGTACTGTTAACCGCTTGAAGAAGCTAAAGTCATTTAGGTGATAGTGTAATTTAAGGTATTTCCCTCCAATAAGTACTGTCGCAACTCACCAAGGTCTTCCATCTGGCGTGTGCCGATTCGTACTATTGGCTCCATGAATGAAAGAACATTTAGCCCCGCCCATGTCCATATACAGAACACTAGAATGTTCATCATCCAGTCATCTTGGCTTAATCAATGCCAGGTTGGTTACTACCTGGCGAACGTAAATGAACGTATGAATGAAATGAAACTGCCTCTCTGTGATTGGCCGAAATCGGTGAGAGTGGAAATGACGTCAATCATCGAATGAAATAAAATAACGTGCACTTCTCTCGTTTTACAGAATCATTTACCGAGTTCATACCTTCAAGAACTTTGACAACTTCAAGAAACGCAAGCAGCATCTTCAGAATTTACGACTTAGGACAGAAATCAACTCAAGAAAAAATGATGATGACAGTTTTAGTTTTCCTGACGGCAGCAGTATTATTAGGTGAGTCGACACTTTTTATTTACAAACCTGGCTGAGCACGTGTAGCTAACGGAATTCTTGGCACACAGTCAACATAGTAGTTCTACAGTGCAAAACTCGACACGACGGATACTTCTTGTTTGGAAAAAATTGCAGATACCAGATATCACTTAGTTTCTGTACTTCTGAATGTTCAACTTTTTATCCTATGCATAAATATACCTATATAATTGAGCACCTGGGGCATACATCAGATAGTTGATTTAGAATATGATCCAGCCCATACCGTAGGCTCACGTGTGGTTACCAAACCGTATCATAGATGGTAACCAAACGCGGATGTTTACAAGCTGTGACAACCTTTTTAAAAGAAAAAACATTAATTCATATTTGGCAACCCGAGTCGTGATCTGCCAGTTAGATTTCCGTCTCCATTAAATTTTTCCTCGGAGTAAGTCCGTATCGACACAGTAGCCCGTGACACCTGTTGGCGGTGTCACCGTGGCCGCGTGTTTGTAAACAAACGCTTTTGTATACAATTTACTGCTGGGAGGAGTGCCAGCGCTATTGACCCGCGGTAGATTTCCTATTGAATCATAAATGTCACTTCCCGTGTTAAAGTTAATCATGTCCCTTTAATCATATAGCAGAATCCTTTTTTTTTTTTGGAATAATTCCGGGTGTGTGTTCATTATGTAGAAAGAGAGGCGCCTGTGAACTTGACCTAGGCAAAGTCTAAACGTTGCATTGTTGTATTTATGACATGTGACAGTTCACAGTTGTAGAAGATCCATGGTATTGTAATTGAATAGGCAAACAAAAAAAGAACGTTACGGTTATTAGGGATAGGTTCCGTCACAACAAACCTCATACTGATACTACTACAACTACTAGTATTAACTTTGATCTTGAAAACGCCGGAATGCAAGAACACTCGAGGTTGTCGCTTAAATCAATATGTGATAAATCGAACAAACAATCGCGATATCGGGAAAAGTTGTCGTGCCACTGAAGCTCTCGATGATCCAGATAGTCTCCATTCCGTACATTCCTCTTATGGCGTGATTGTAGTCATAATCCCACTGTCAACCGAGATTTTTGTGCCGTTTATAGCTTGAACCATCCAAAAAAGATAAATTCGTAATGTAGTTAGACCAATAGGTTAATAAATCCTCTTTTCACCAACTGAACTTAATGCCTGAAGGCTAAGTGAAGAGGAAGTAAGATAACTCAAGATACGCAATAAATAACGTTGCTTTGTTGACGCTCTGCTATGGCTAACTAGTCTATCTCCAATCTAGTCGTCAACCGTTTAGAGCTATTATACCTCTACCTCTGTGTACTGTTAAGAACAGCAACAGGCTGGCACTTGCCAATGGCATTGCCGAAGTGCTTGCGTAAAGCTTAACGACCGAGAAGAACTACAAGATTAATTGATCTGATCGGCGTTTAGGGTGGACTGAGGCATTAGCTTCCGTATTTACTGCCAGTCTTCGTCTTGGATGGTTGGTGCGCGGTTATGCACCGGGGGTCGGTAGGTCCTTGCCGCACGCTTAGCGGTGCTGACTCATGCAGATTGGGGCCCCGATAAGCAAGCTACAGGTGCTAAAACTAAAGCAATTTTTAATGTTTAAGTGCGACACAGTTGTCATCAAAATGGGCAGTAACCCGTGAAGCCAAGGATGTTCATCTAAGAAGATAGCACTGACGCTAGTAACAGCGCAAGATTTCCCCGCCTCTCTTACACGAGTTTAGACGCTAACTAATAAATAAAACTTGCGATTTGTTGGTTCCTCTGGTGTTCATTAAAATCCTTCTATTTTTTACAGGTGTCCTAACATATTTGTGGAGAAAATACATATCCGGCGGTATGTGCACGAGTCAGGCACGATTAGATAGAAAAACAGTGATCATAACAGGTGCCAACACAGGGATAGGGAAAGAGACAGCTTTAGACCTGGCAGCCAGAGGTGAGTAGTGCCTATTAGTCTTATTCCTTATGAATCACGAACTAACGAAAACAATGCACGATCCGCCCCTCATTAGACATCTGGTAAAATCAAAGGTAATTGGTAACGGTTGAAATCATTACTGATAATCCCGGGTGTGATGTATTAGGAATGTTTTGAAAACTGACAAGTGTGCATTAACTGCATTCGACCGCTTTGGACTTGGAAAACAAAGCCCTTCTTCACGGCAGAGTTATGAATGAAACGTGACGCAAACTGAGGGAAGCTTGCCTGCCAGAAAGGAAAAGGCTTGGCAAAAAAGCCAAAAGGGCTAATCGATAGTAATGTATACCATAAACACAAAGAATCCCACCTTACTATAACGTCAAGAACAATAAACCGCAATCTCCACTACTAATAAATTTTGTTATATTTGTCTCAGGAGCAAGGGTGATCCTCGCCTGTAGGGACATAAAAAGAGGTCAGGAAGCGGCCGCCGAAATCCGAGCCCAAGTCCCAAACGCCGAGGTCGTGGTCAGACGACTGGATTTGGCTTCGTTACAATCCGTGAAAGAATTTGCTCAACGAATATATGAAACCGAGGAGAGATTAGACGTCTTAATTAACAATGCAGGTGAGTACCCGGGTGTTTGCAAATTAAGTTCCGAAGCGTACAGAGTAATCAATATTGGCTAGTTTATTTAACAGCTCATTTAAAGTATCATTGGAAACAATTGTATAAGTGTCGCAATTAGTTAAGAGAGGGCGGAATATCATAGCTGTTCGTCCCTTAAACCGCTCTGATTTTTTTTTTTTGCTCTATTAGGAGTGGCATGGTGCCCGAGGGGGTCCACCCAGGACGGGTTTGAGCTACACTTTGGAGTCAACCACCTGGGGCACTTTTTACTCACCAACCTCCTGCTGGATCTTCTAGTCAAATCTGGACCCAGCAGAATAGTGATAGTGTCCGCAAGATGTCACCAACGTAAGTAGACAAATGAAACAGTCACCGATTTTGTGTGACGGAAAGGAGGGGTAGATAGTAAAAGAATACTACCAAGATATACTTCGGTCGTTGCTATATGACTAAGTACGTTGGCCTTGAGAGAGAGAGAGAGAGAGAGAGAGAGAGTATTAGAATGAATACTTTATGATATGATATGTAGCTATAATATTGGCTTGTATTTTCTTGACAGATGGCTATATGAACTGGGAGGACATCAACTGGGAGGAAAGATACTCACCGTTCGCTGCATACAATCAAAGCAAACTCGCTAACCATTTATTTACAAGAGAACTAAGCCAGAGACTAGAAGGTAAGAAGGTTTTACTATTTACGACTGTTCGATTGTCGGTTGTCTTAGAAATATCTAGACAGCATTAGTGGCGCGGATAATAAAGAACAAGGCTGCACAGGGAACGTTAAAAAACCCAAAAATGTTCGCCTTTGTAAAATTATTGGATCCTTAATTAAGTCTTAATGTAGCTATCAATACCGGACCTCATTAGTAATACAAAGGGGAATGAAAGATCGCGCTTGTGTTTGGATAGCTAAAGGAAACAAAAGCCCAGACAAGGCCTCTGTTTTTTATTTCTTAGTTTGCATTGTCGAGGAAAGCTGTGAAAACAATAAAATCAACAAACCCAAGGTTTTCATAACAAATTTTGCTGAGCAAGACTTAGAATCAATCATTTCTGATCTTTGCGTGCCCATAAAAATGACATGAAATCAAGGAGCATGTGATAAATCACCCTTGAACAATAGCTGGCGTTGAAGCCTGCACAATACGCCATAACGTAATGTTTTTACTACTGCTACTACTGGTGCACCCAGCGTTCATAATTCATTTACTGTTGTTTTGTTTGGGTAACAAGAGCTTAATTGGCCACCAATTGAAAATTGATAAATTTCTGACACTTTCACCTGTATTGTGTCCAGACGAATTGTACATTAGTTATCGATAAAGGGCAATTCGCAAAAACCTCCAGTGCATCGGTTAACTATTAAACATAAACCCATGTTTTGTTCAAGTTAATTAATAACTCAACTTGTAGTTGATTTTCTATAAAATCGGGAAATTATCGAGGATGGTTCATTTGATCAGGCACGCATAAACGATGAGGTTAAGGATTTTTCTCATTAAGCGTTGCAAAGACAAAAATCTATCTTGATTGGCAAAAAGGAAAAAAATCACTGTATGCAAGGTGCCTTTATTAACTCTCGAATCCATTTCTTAATTTAATTGACATCCAGGACCTGCGTAGACTAGACACCGAAATATTCGATCAATTTCAAGGTAAAGGCATCCGAAAAATGCACGCGCTGTCCGCCCGCGCCTACTTATGAAAGTTCTGAAGAAAGTCTCAGACGTGTCAATGGTGTTGATATAAAATGTCAAAGTCCGCTGTGTCCTTCCAAGCTTGTCGAGTTCAAAACGTGCATTAAGCAAAGAATCTTGACACATCTCCCTGTCTATTTTTAGCATGATTCACTTAACAAAAAGAAATTATTGTCGCATTGTTTGTTGACATTACTGTGAATGTTCATAAAGCATTATACATATTAATGAAGATAAAGATGACAGGACGTATTAATGAGTTTAGCTACTTGTCTATTTCAGGCACTGGAGTCACCGTTAACTGTCTCCACCCCGGCGTAGTGAAAACCGACATAGCCAAATATATCTTCTTCAAAGAATGGAACCACGTCGCCTTTTGTTGGCTGTACTTCCTGCTCTTTAAGAACCCGCGCGAGGGCGCACAGACCAGCATTTTCTGTGCAGTTGACGAAAGTTTAGAAGGAAAAACGGGACTATACTTTAGGTAAATATTTCACCCGTATTTAGAGATGAAATTTCACACACTTTCTCATTTCCTGGCTACTTATAAATTAGCATTCCACGGTATGGTGACTCAGCGTTCTAGGCCCACTTTATCTGGACTATCACCAAGGCAACGTTTCCATAAACGATTTTATCTCAGGCGATTCTGTGTCTTCATTTGTATCACTTGTTACTCAGCTAAAGTAAATGGCAGTCGAATACTTATCAGAAAGTCGAGCCAATATTTCCTGCTTATAAATGATAGTTTCTATAACTATCCACTATTTACCAAAAGCGGTGTAGCATTCCAATCGCGTTAGTGTGGGAGGCCTAGGCGTGCGCTACGGTATCCATACACGTTACTATTCATACATTACGTCTAAATTTAGTAGGGTTCTTGGTTAAATTTAGAACAGAGATAACCTGAAGGTCTGATAATAACGCGCATCGTGTTGTCACTATGAATCAAATAGATAAATGAAGACTAAATCTAACGCGGGAAGACGGGATATGACAAATGAAACACACACACACATACACACGCTATAGCTTTCTGTCACAACTTTTTCATGCTTTTCTAGCAAAATGATTTAAGTCTCATATCAATTTTCATTTTTACAGTGATTGCAAGGAAAAAGAAATGGCACCCCTAGCAAAAGACAAAGAACTGGCGAAAAAAGTCTGGGACCTCAGCGCAGAACTGGTGGGTTTGAACGAACAAGAGTGCTGGCCGCACACGCAGCTGCAGTCGCGCAGAAAACACGTCGATCTTCTACAAACGAAGTGGGAAGAATTCCCCTTCAACAACAATGACATTTGTGTTATGGACCGCTGCGAACCAATTGAACACTGTCTACGACAGGGGTAAAGCCTGCATAATTGTTCCAGTACACTTCCATTCGGACTTGACGCCATCTCGCGACGTTACTCGCACGCAATGTTCATCACGCGTGGCAACACATGATCTCCCAAGTCCTGTGAAAACGCACCCACAAGTGCAGTTTGTGATACCTTCTCAGGTGCTTATCACGACTGATACCTAAGATTCGCAAGAAACTCTAAGCGACGGCACCGACTTATTGAAGAAGAGTAAACAATCAGTAATTTATTCACAACCGCGAAGACATTATTTCATCAGCACGGCAAAGCGGCTGCTGGCAGCATACATTTGCCATATTCATAAACATTATTTATTGCATATTCATAGATTCATCTCATCGTTCGTTTTCGTTTCATGAGAGCAAAACTCAAAAACGCATCACACCGTCATGTCATCGATGCATTTCTTAATTTATTTGTACATAATATGTACGTATCAGTACGATTTTCACTATTTATTGCATAACAAGCTTTTGATATGTAGCCGGTTTTTGTGGAATGATCCAAACCGACGTAGCTGCAGTTGAAATATTAACATGTAAATATAATTTATTTTATTTATTTGGAAAATATAGGTTTAGAAAACAGTATCCCAAAGTTAAGGGTTTTCATACGCACCAATAGTTGTTGAACAACAGCCCTGTGCAAATTAAGAAGACCGAATTTTTAAACTTACTTTAGTGTTCCATCTTACCCTGCCCTAGGACTTGTCCACAACGCTTTAAAGCAAGTCTGCTTAGAATAGAGACACTAGCATTTGACTTGCAGCCAATTGCTGGCGCTGCAGAAGTAGCTTAGATTTGCTTGAGACACGACATATAGTATTGCTGAAAGAGCAGCTTAGATGGTACATTTTACCGATGTAGAGTAGTCAAACACAACACAGCGGACTTTTTTTAAAGCTGTGCTTAAAGGATTCCTTAAAAATCTCTGACACAGGCATATTGCAGTTATGAAAGCAACTTAAGGCAGCTTGTTTACTGATAACGATAGTTCTGCTTAAAACGAAAGATTAGCATCAAGTGACTCTGCCTACACGTCAACTGCATCGGTTCTGCTTAGAATCGATATATCTATGGCATAAATTGCATACATGCTTCATTAGCTCAGAACATTGAAGTAGTTCCGGTGATAAAAACTTAGCTTAATTACCAAACAAAAGTCAGGTAATTAAGTAATGATCTGCTGCATAATGTCAACAACGTTTTTGTTTACTCAATACCAGACTGCATTTCTTGCCCGATCTAAATGAATTACAAAGCCACATAATAAAATAATGAACGAAAAAAAAAGCTGTTGTTTTTATTGACTTGCTATTTCGTGTCGCTTGGTCACTTGTGGTAACAATGTAAACGCAATTTAGAACTCCCAACGTTTTTTTCCCCAAAAACTTTTTTGAACGCAATGAATATCTTTAAACCTTTTGTTCATACCGGTAGGTTCAAGCACGCGATTCACCATCAAGCACATGGTCATGCTTATCGCTGGTGTTTTCAACATAAGTGGCCATCCTCTCATCACAATATATTTTTTCGGTAAATGATGGTCTTCTTCAATTTTCCCACTTCAGTCGATTTAGATAAATAGTACACTCATCCGTCGTGACGATATTGCGCGAGAAGCCCTATCATATTAATTAAGAAAGCTTAAGTGAGAGTCCATTACGAAAATCGTGACTTGGAGATTCTGAAATAATGTAACTGAATACGACTCTTAATCACAGTTTTCCTCACGCGATCACCAAAACAGGAATGTCGTATCAATTATCATCTGTAATTCTGATAATATCGCCGTTTAAGGCTTTTCCCTTCATTTGTCATAAATCATATCATATTTATTCTTTCTCTCTATTCATTAATTTATTACCACTATTCTCTATCTCTTAAAAGGTGGGGAATGACGATACCCCTATAAAAGGAGGTAAGGGGGTATATTTACAGAAACTTTTTACCAGACGGGTACATTCAAAATGACTGGGAAATAACGTTTCGTATTTAGCCGGTTTATCGTACCCGTGTCCTTCTGTTTCTACCTATTTTGTTTATTGAAGAAAAGCAGTATAGATAACAAACCAGAGTATGTATACATACAAGTGGCGATGGTAAATCATACACGATCCAACCAGAACCATGATTTCAACATCATGGCATGCACCGTAATGCACTCCCCAACCCTCAATCCGGAAGATTCTCTTACTCTGTTTTTTTTTTTTTAATAGTCACTTAATTTCAGATTGAAGTCATTAAAGATGTCTGACTTTGATATGCCAGTGGGAAAAACTGCAGACTTTGAATTAAAGTTCAAGGCAATTGTTCTTGTTCATAAAATTTGGCAGATGATTTTGAATTTCTGCCAATTTTGAGTGAAATTTACCCAATAATAAAAAAATTGACAAATTATTTTTATCTGCAGGCAAAGCAAAGTCCAACGAACAAAATTTGGTTTTTGTATCTTGGTGGAAAGAACTCTCGACTTGCCTCACGTTTTGCTTGGTTGACAGCAAATTTACACGATCCTCGCTGATCAGTTTTACGTTCCATTATCACAATACTGAGATTCAATTTTGTCATCTTGGATTAAAGACAACACACTAACGACAGGTTTCGAATCATCTCAGAATTTATTATCTTTTCACCCTAACGTCCATCATCCATTTAACTTGTAGAACACAAAAGCAAGCAGTCACTGAATCAACGAAGCCACTTGAATTAAAGAGATAATAACTCTTTGTATGAGATCTATATTTCACAATAAAAACATTGTAAACAACTCATAGAAATATAATTTATTCTGTTTTGCCACAAAAACGGCAGTACTATACTATACTATTATTCTGATATCTGAGCTTGTCATCAGATCACGTGACCTCCATAGATGGTTATACTCTGTAATAATCTCTTAAGAGATTATAACACAAAACCAAACTTTTTAGAAAAAAAAAAAACAAGTACTAACTTTGAATGTAGAAATGGATTCATTCACCATTGGTAAGTATGGGGAAAATTGTCGTTTACTCCGGGAAAAATTCATTTTTTGGCCAAAACGAAGTTATTATCCCTTTAAGTCAGAGGCAAGAATACAATTTATGGGGAAACAGAGGTGAGACCAGACTTTATGGGCTCATTCCCAATGAAACTATCGTTCCACATAGATGGATCCAATTCTGTGGGTACTCTCACAATCAGATTAACATGCCTCTTCATTAACATACTCAAAAAACACCTGCTTTTCTGCATTCTACTCCACGCCAGGAGGCATGTCAATCTGTTTGGATTCAGCAAGATTCCCCATTGACTTGGATTGATCTTCATAGAATGATAGTTTCACTGGGAATGAGCCCTAACCGTATAAGGAGGAAGACTAATGTGGATGAAAGTGTACATCCTTTTTTATATTGGTAAACAATATTTGGATATTTCTACTGCATGCTAGTCTAACCACTATATCCAATAATTTTCACAAAAAATCTGGTGCATTTTCACTGTCCCTTATCTGACATTATAAATAATAAAGTTTTAGTAGAACTCACTTTGAGAAAGATCATGGTTTACATTGCTTTTTAGGTTTTTTAACCAAAATTATTGCAAATGACAAAAAAAAAAAAAAAATTATATTTTCTTTACTGTATGAGATTTCTCCTCTTAGGTTAGTACCTAGAGAAAACTTACAAATAATTTCAAAATTGTAAGGCAAATGCAGTACAAAATAAAAAATTAACTCTATTTATCAAATTTGTACATTCACTGAAATATTATTTCTGAGAGCATTTTTTTTTGTTTGACAATGAAATAAGTAGGACACACCTTTCTTAAACACTGGCCTTTGTGCGTTTAAATTTGTTTAACTTGTCTAGTCTGGAGTAACCATCCAAGTATAATAACACATAACCAAATATGTAATAATTGAAACTTGAGAATTGCATTTCCAACAATAGTTGTAAAACAAATAACATAGATATATTTTAGCAGTTCAATGTTTAGTTAAATCTTTTTGTTTGCAATAACAATCCTAATATTTGATACCACTACGTAAGACTTCTACATTTACTAAGCAAGTCAGTTCTCTTATGCTACTGTTATCATTATCTGATGCTTTATATTTAATAGGGATCTGGGGAGAATCATTCTGACTGTGCTCATACTGAGTTTTTAAGAGTTATCCATACAGGGAAATTTGAACTACATCAATTTTTGTCTGGAACCTAAGATAAACATTTTTGGTCAGGCATTATGTTTGGCATATTCATTCCTTAAAAGGTGCAAATTGAAAGGGTATTAACGTTTTTGTCAGTCATAATCTGAGATAGTTTGAAACTGGTGCAATTTGGTTTGAACTTACCAAAGTTCACCATAATACTTTTGTATCACAAATGTCCATACATAAGAAACAAACAATTCAGTAAAGCATGTTTACAAACATAAAAAGTGCCTTTACGCTTAAACAAAACCTAGTGTCAACCAACAATTAATTCCAGAACAGCTGTGTATATAATATACCAGTAAATGTATGCATCATATCCTTCCAGTGTCAATGCCGACTTAAAGAGAACTTTTTGTCAGGAATCGGACAGCAATAATTATAATAACCCAGAAAACAAGAGCCTTCCAAGAGCCCCTGTCCACACCTGTCATCATAAACCCAGGAGATGAATTATTGGGTTCTCCACAGCAGACTTGATTTTACGCAGAAATGTAACTGCCTCCCTTCCGTCTATTAATCGATGGTCGTACGTTAATGCTGCATACATCATGGGCCTGATTTCAACCTGAAGAGGCAGAAGAACCTTTTGTTAAATTGCATACACAAAATATACAAACCAAGAATAATATGATAACATGCAAGTCACAAGATTTAATTTAAAGAAATCAGGTTTCATTTTCTGCAAAATGAGGCAGAAAATCATATTCATGAAGTTAAAGTTTGTTTGAGCACTAACAATGACTGTTGTTAAATTGTAAAAGACAAATTGACAAGATCGTCATATCAGATTCCAATGTTTAACTCAAATGTTCATGTGTGCTGTTATGCTGAAAAGAATTTGCTACATATACTGGTTATTCTTTTAATACGAATGTCGAAGAACTGCTTGTGTTTAGGGAAATAAACAATCTAAATATCAATTAACAGGAATAATCTGAAAATGGCCATACACCCAAATCCAATATTTCGGGAAAACTTGGGTCACTGTTATCTGATAAATCATTGAAACATTATCATGGCCTTGACATTAACAGAAATTGCACTGAATATCGGCACCATTAATTTAGAATATTTTAAATTCTATACGCATTATACATATCCAGGTAAACAGAGAGTCTCTTCGAAAAGCACCAAACATTATAAATTTAATGTTTGATAGAGAAACACAACAGCTCACTTGAGAATAGCAAATTCAACGTCCCCCCCTTGCCCCACACACAATATCCTGCTATGTGACAATAAAAACTAATCAAGTGCCAGCACCTTCAACACAGTATAACATGTACCTGTTAAAAAAGGCAGACATGCTGCTGAAAGCAGTCATCTCCCAATATTATGTTTGATATAATAAAACATTGTTTTGAATAAAAAAAAAATAAAAACACAAAAAAAAACACAAAAATTTTACTACTTTGTTTAACACTAAAAACATTGTAAAAAAAAAACTTATTAAAAAGTTCACCTTCACAAACTTCCTCACATCATCCTTCTTGGATGCTTACCTTGCCATTCACTGCAACAGGTCTATCAAAAATGGCATGCATCCCCAGAATAGCCGACTGTGGAAGATTAATGATGGGCATGCCAAACAGTGAGCCAAATACTCCGCCATTACTGATGGTGAAAGTGCCTCCGTCCATGTCTTCAATAGCCAACTGGCCATCACGAGCCTGATGAAAGTTTATTTCACTCTTTCATTCATGTTATTCATCCTTTTAACTATAATGTGAGCTAAGGAATTTCACTGATTAAAACAAATTTCCCTTAAAAAGTATTTGATGTTTTTCTTTCTTTTTCTTTCTGGAAATACATTCCAACTTTGGCTCATGATTGTTAATTGTCTTATTCTCTCCATCTAAAGTTTGTGTCAACTTAAGTGTAAAATCTAGTATCAATCTGTGACATGGAATAATCATTTAGAAAGATCATTTTAACTTAATATTGTTTTAAACAATTCTAAAATCAGAAAAATTCTTTTGGTGACCATAACTTAAAAGATCTTTCCTAAGAGATATTGTTAAAAAATCTCTGAATATCTAAATGTAAGTAAAACAAATTGTGCTGTGTTTCAATTTAGGATGTCATCATCACCATTTCTCTTAAGTACCTTTTTTCCTAATTCATTGATAGCTAATTCAATGTCAGCAAAATTCATGGTTTCTACATTCCGTATAACTGGCACCACAAGTCCCTAGAAGAAAAAAAACAAAAAACTAACAAACTGATGAAAAAACTATTTATATTTTCTCATTCTATTTATAAAACTTACCAATTTAAAATCATTAGAATGACAATGCTGCATCTTTACCACTATATATTTATCACTTTCTAAGTCCTATTGAGGCTTCAAAAAAAAAGATAAATATACAAATATATTTCATCTCAACTGGATATCTAGCATTCTTTAGAAATAAAAATATCTGAGGTAGATGCAAGAGGCTTAGAGCACATTTTGTGTCATTTTTAAAACATTTTGGAGCTAAGGCAATCTTTTTAACCTTTGCTTCTAATAAAACAAAATGAAAAGGCATCCGGTAAATATTACTTAAAAAATGAGACAAGCACATTACAAACGCTTATGTGACTAAAAACTAAATAACACACACACACACACACACACACACACTTTTTCCAACAGACATACATGACAGAAAAAATGTAGGATCAAATATTGGACAGATGAGTTCAGAGAAGTACCAAGTGAACAATATTGCTTGCATAAATACTAAACTCACAGTGATGCACACAGAAATTGGTTAATCACTTTCATCTAAACACCAAATGTGGTTGACCATTCTATAATCAATGTATATATAATAGTTATTAATACTACACCCTGTGTACACTGGCAGTGACAAGGTCTATACGTACTTACACCTATTGCACCTCTTGGAGCATAAGCCACCTAAAAGATCCCTCCATCCTTTCTGTTCTGTTTAACACCACAAAACGGGGCAATTGCTCAATTATATGCTGGTGATGCAATAACAATAAACAACAGAGCTGTTTTCTGGCGTTTACCTTTGGTGTTGCCACAGCAACACTTATATCAACATAGTCCCTGTAAACAATTTCTTTCTCATCTATAACAGCATTCACCACTGGCTGGTCTATGAGAGCAGAGGCAGAGGCCTTAACAAAAGCAGACATAAAACCAAGTTTTATACCATGCTTTTTCACAAAGGCCTCTTGATGCATCTTTCTAATTTCCATAAGATTACTGAAAAAAAAAAAAATAATAATAATAATCATGATAATGACAATGATCCAACTGAAAAAATTAAGGCACAAAAACTTCAAGGGGATCAAGTGTTTCTGACACAATCTTTAAATCATGTTCAGACATTTTTTTTAAACAAACTCTCCAAACTTGTGTTAACTTGAGGCCAAAAAGTTGGTGTTTTTCACATAAAGTAATATAACTAGTGACCAAAGGCATCAATCATCATTTACCTCATATCAATTTCTTGAGTTGTTGTGAGCATTGCACATTTATTTTGAGCATCCTTGAGACGCGTTGCTGTGGCAAGCCTTATTCTTGTCATTTTTATCTGAAAAGATTATAAATATAATAATTACAATAATAATACTGAGCTTTTAACCTTCATGTTTAAATCTGTAAACATTTTTCCACACAGTAAGTCAACTTACAACCTTACAAATACAACATACAGAATATTACTCTAAAAAGAGTAAAAGACAACATTTAAAGAAATTGTAGTACTAATCAATTTTAAAAGCTTTATTTTTCGTCTCATGTTTTCTTAATTTCACGACTCAATGTTGCCCTCACCCTCTGTTCTTGCCTAGTTCCTGCAGGAGGTTTGCTGGCAATACCCCCAGATGGCGCTGTTACAGGCGTAGGCTTAAGTGATGCTGTGGGAACTTCACTCATGGGTTGCCGTGGTGGTTGTGGGATTGGCGGAGGGCTGGAGGGGATGGGTCCACTGGCTGAACCAGCTGGTTGTGCGGGTGGGGGCTGGACAGCAGGTTCAGCTGATGGTGCCTTCTCTGCCGCAGCTTCTGGCTTTTTGGCTGGTGCTTCTCCTAACAGCAAAGCCAAAAAGTTCAATTTGGTGAGTCTATCATGTGAAATGCTACCCCTGCCAATTTTTAACTTTAATAAATTAAAACAAATATAAAAACATCTTCCCATGAAACTAATTAAATATATAAAAATTTATCAGGGCTCATGTTAAATTTTGCTCTGATCAGACATCTGGGCTACTGTTTCACAGACTAGGGCAGTTACACTCAGGTGTCAGTTGAAAATATGTCAAGCTTCATCATACAATGTCTTTAGCGTCAATGTCATGTCATGTCATGTGCCATATGACCTAATGTCATGTGACAATACATGCCAAGTCATGTGAAGTCATATAATTTATGATATCAAGTTATGTAACATAGGGTGCTTTCCCAGAGATTTAGATCGATCTAAAGATTAAGATTTAAATCGACCTAACTCCCTGGGGGTTCACGCTAAATTGCAGTCAGCCGAGCGGGCACCATAGTTAATTACCCCCTTACAGCTTTTAATAGGCGGGACAGACGCTTAAGCCGACAGTAATCTAGTGACACTCCCCACTGGGATAGATCGATCTAAAAATCTATGGAAATGGGGTGATAATGATTTCATGTAATATAATTTCGATCACTGTGAGCTGATGTGCTACGTTACACTGTGCAATGGTAATGCTGTCATGCAAGATCACCACTTGGTATTCCAAAGAAAGGAGGAGGAATATCCCAACAGTAACTAAAAGACCAATTCTGACTATTGTTTGAAGAGAGCACAGACTTCAAACATGTACTAGCACAGGTGTTTAAATCACAGCATGGGTTCACAAATGATAATTCAACAACAAAAATAGGATCAAATGTTGGGAGCACAAACAATATTCTAAGATACTCAGGAAGTATATATTAACAAATTAGAGCAAATTGATACTATGGATTATAATGGGCCATCCTACACAAGTGTTATATAGTCATATATATTTCAATACCTTATTGTGTGGCATTATAAGTAACAATTACTCCTACATACTCATAAAATGTGATACTTTTGTGAAAAATACTGTTGGTCGTTCCATAATTAGAATCCTCTGTTGCTAGAGATAATGAAAGGACAAAGAATTCAGTCTGTCACACATCTAAGAGTGTTTGCCAGTACATGATACTAAATATTTTTACTCTCAGATTTTCAAAGTAATTGTCAAATACAATGCCCCATCTTTGAATACCTTATAAGCATCTGTTTTGTGTTTGCCAGTTTCCAAGAAAGGACTGCGATGAACTTAAAGTAAATCAGTACCAACATGTTCTACTGTTTCAATAATTGTGATGAATATTTTGTGTGAAGAAATAGCCAAGTGTTAAAATATATGCAAAAAATAAATAAATAAATAAATAAATAAATAAATAAATAAATAAATAAAAAGAGGAGGGTGGAGAGGGATTGTACAAACAAGAGATATCCCAGTTTATAAAATACACGAAAAAAAGTGATATCATGTTATGTCATGCCATGTGAGGTCATATATTATATCAAGTTACGTAACATGATGGTGATTTCATATAATGTGAACTAATGTGTTATGTTACATTGTGCAATGGTAATGGTGTCTTGTGAGATCAACACTTGGTATTCCAAAGAAAGGAGGAATAACCCAACTATAACTGAAAGACCAATTCTGACTATTGTTTGAAGAGAGCACAGACTTCAAACATGTACTAGCACAGGTGTTTAAATCACAGCATGGGTTCACAAATGATAATTCAACAAATTAGGATCAAATGTTGGGAGCACAAACACGATTCCAAGATACTCAGAAAGTATATATTAACAAATTAGAGCAAATTGATACTATGGATTATATGGGCCATCCTACACAAGTGTTCTATAGTCATATATATTTCAATACCTCATTATGTGGCATAATAAGTAACAATTACTCCTACATATTCATAAAATGTGATACTTTTGTGAAAAAAACTGTTTGTCGTTTCATAATTAGGATCTTCTGTTGGTAGAGATAATGAGAGGACAAAGTCTGTTACACATCTAAAAGTGTTTGCCAGTATATGACACTAAATATTTATAGTCTCAGATTTTCAAAGTAATTGTCAAATACAATACCCCATATTTGTATACCCTATACCTTTTTCCCAGGCATTTTATTTGAATCGCTTTCAAACAAGACCCAGTATCTATACAGCAGATTTTTGAAACTGTCCGGTATTTATTAAAGAGCCAAAATCCCAGGTTACTACAGAGAGGAGTTGGTTGAGAAGTGAAATCGAAGGTTCAACTGAGCAGGTGAAAAAATTCAAATTGAAGTTGGCAGTTAGGTGGAAACCCAAGGGTAACAGAATTCAGTTTGAGTTTAATGCCAATTTAGAAGATCATTTGTCGCAAAAAAAGTCAAGAAAAGAAATTAGTTGATTAAAATCGCTGATTCTAGTGAAGGCGGTTGGGGCAATTCAGAAGATGAGAGGATGATAAACAAAGCAGGAAGTAAAGCACTGAAAAAGCAAAAAAAAAAAAAAAAAAAAATTAGCATAAACCGTACAAAATCTAAATATGAATCTTCTGCTTCCTTCTCAACTAATTTTTCTCATCAGTGTTTCTTGGGTACAGCTTGAATTTAGAATCTGGCTTAATGAAAATTCCAGATGCGTGACTTCACAAAATAAGTCAAGGTATCAATGATATTACTAATTTCTACAAAAAGAAAGGTTCTATACATGTTCATCAAATTGCCAGCTTAGTAGGTCAGATTATCACATTGTCATTTGTAACTGAAAATATTGTCTGTATCATGATAAAAAAAATTTAAGCTATGATGTAGTAAAAGCTGGTTCATGGAAAGAGCAAATTGCTTTGAATGAGCTAAGTTAAAAACAAATTAATTTTTGGAAAGACAATTTAGAGAGATTTGTTGAAAGGCAGTTTATAGTGGACCACTGCATACAAAAGGTAGTTTCTAGTGATGCCAGTGGAGTAGGGTATGGAGGATATATGGCTCAGCATCTTTTGGACATTGCACATGGAATGTGGGATCAAAATGAAAGGCTTTGTAGTTCAATGTGGAGGGAACTTGTTGCTGCAAAAAGTGTTTGGCTCTTTTTTGACATTTTATGTTAGAAAATCTGTTAAGTGGTTTTCAGATAACACAGGTGTAGTGAATATCATTGAAAAGGGTAGTATGAAAAAAAATTTGCGTTATGCATTGTTAACAGAGTTACGTTTCATGCAGAATGGGTTCCACGCAGAGAAAATCAGTATGCTGATCAAATCAGCCGAATAGTTGATAATGGTGATTGGGGTGTAAGTGGATGTATTTTTGATTATTTGGAATCAATATGGGGACCTCATGAAATAGACTTTTTAGCAACAGAGTACAATAAAAAGTTACCTGTGTTTTATTCCGATATTTGACAAGATGGGCAAACGGAGTTGATGCATTTACTGTTAATTGGAGTAGTATAAATGGGTGGAATGTTCCACCATTTTGTATATTGCCAAAAGTATTTCTGTATTTGAAACGGTGTAGAGCGTATGTTACTCTCATAACACCAGACTGGCCGTCAGCAAGTTTTTGGCCGTTAGCGTATCAAAATGAAAACCTTGTAAAATTAGTAGCTGATTGCAGAGAACTGCCAAGAGAAAAAAAAGAATTTTATGGAATGGGGAAGTTTTGTAATATTTTTTTTTTGGAAGAAGGTATCTTCCATTTAAAATGTATGCTGTAAGGATTGATTTTCCTGTTTGATGGCAATAAATTTGCTAATAATGATATTATCTTTATAAATCTGTTTTTGCAGAATTTCAAGGTGAAAGTGTAACAGTTGTCAGCAGAGCTGGCAGCCAAAATGGGCTTTATGGCAGAGCTTGATGCGGGGAGTTGTGCAGATAGCACAGTGAGAAGCTATCATGCAGCATATCTTAGATGGAAGGAATAATAAGAAAAAGGATATTTTGCCTGCAAAATATTTTCACATTGCTTTATATAAATATCATGTTTGGCTAAAAAAGCAAATTCTCCAGCTCCAGTTAATAATGCATTTTATGGTATAAAATGGGCACATTCAGTAAAAAGTGAGAAGTCTTCAACTGATTGTGATTTGGTTAAAATTGTTTTGATGAATAGGCAAGATGCCTTTGTTGAAAATATCTGTGAGAGGGTCCCTTCAGATAAGGGTGCCTTATTTGGCTGATGGGGACAAGAAATCCCAGTAGTAACTGTTACAAATGGTCAGATGATTGAAATTTTTTGTGTTGTATGTCGCATGTATCATCTTTTATCCATTTTTTTTTCAATAAACATGAGCCTAGATAGCATCAGCATTCCAACTCTAATAAAGTGTGTATGTTAAAATACTAATTGCAGTGTCATTAATTATGTAGGAGATCAAACCTTCACTATGGCACAAATGCTGATACTTTCCCCTTCAGCAACTATTGTGTCACAGACCAATGACCTAGATTTCCCCTTTTGTTTTTTGCATATTGAAGTGGGCTGTTTTAAAACAAATTGGGTATTGAATATTGATACAACTCATTATGTTGAAAACTTTCAATAACCAAGCTGGTCCTCTTTTAATGTTTAAACCAGCTTATGGGTTATATAGTCTTTGTGAAAGTGGCTCACATTCAAGCAAAATTGCATTCTTACAGCAACTTTCTTCTCCAACACAATCATTAAATCACATACTGTCAATATTTGGACACTTCCAGTTATAAAAGCGTTCAACTAAAAACACCAAAGTTGCATGATATAATATAACTAAAAGTAGGCCATTTTCACATACTCATGTTTGACAATTGACCAAAAGGTTTTTACTTTCTGAAGCATGCACGTATACAAGAAATACATGTTCCCTTTAAAGAGGATTTTACCAACTTCTACTAGTGCATCCTTTTTTTTCTTGATTCAAGTGAAGTGTTATTATTGTCTCTGTCAGACCTTACACAGTTAACAGAGTAGCTGTTAGCATACCATCTGGGTTTTACATCGTACTTGGATCAGCAAGGATGAAGTTTTACTCACAGTAAGTACCACAGCCACCGCTGGTCAACATTTTACATAGTCAACCTGCCAGCACTGCTACACTCACCTCATATATCCGTTCAAAACATCACTTCCAAGCACATGATCCCTTAATATTTCAATATAATATCACAAGAAGACACTAGCTAAAAATCTGTCTGGAAACAATGCCATGAGTCCCTTTCCTTTAAGTAGCTAAAATGCTGTTTTAATACTGTATTTTTTTTTTCTTTTTTTTTTTTATAAATATAATTCAGCAAACTGTGAACATGTTGCCCACAATGTGTATTGTGAGACCAATTAAGGGGGTGGGGTGGGGGGTGGGGGGGGGCGTCTTCAGTTCATTTGTGAACACAGCCCCTGAAGTGACAGGAGCTTTTACAAGACATCACAAAACAAGAACGTACATGCACCAAATACAATACCTGTAATTCTTATTTTGAACAGAGCTGTTCCAGCTTCTACTGTGGTTCCATCCTCCACTAACAACTCTTCAATGATACCTGCAGCAGGGGCATGGACTGGGAGAGAAGTCTGTAAGTATTCAAAAGACATAATATACAAGTTATTGGAGAACTATATAAGTTGGCAACATAAGCTCACCAATCCAAGGCAAAACACCAAAAGAACTCACTTTGGACAGGCAAAGTTACATGTCTAATTGGGCTACGTCAAATTTAAGTGTTTGTTTTAGCTTATTTTTCAATTTGATAAAGTCTACCAGACTTACTGAACAGCAATCTATAAAGCTACTTTTTTCATTTCTCTGTCCACTTGTACTAGTAGACTTAAGAAACTCAGCAAAATAAAAATATGCTAGTTCCAATCAAATGTCACAATCTCAAGGTTGGAATATACAATAATTGTTAAAAAAAGTTACACTGGTATGATCTGCTTAATAACTCTAAAAAATACTAACTTTTGATTAGTTGAAAGCCAAGTACTCATCAATTGCCTCAGACCAATGGCTAAAGAATTAGTATAAGGTGAAACCATAGCTTACTACTGACTTAAAGGAATTCGAATGTTACTGTTATTGTCCAGTCCAGGAAAAATAAGTAATAATGGCAACTGTGATGCAAAAATACAGCTGCAGTTATATGTCCCAGTGCCACAATGGGATGGATTTCAAAATACCTGATATCATAATAATGGGATTTTCAGAGAAAACCCACAGAAACATATGGAAATGTTTGTTTGACATTAACCTGCCATCAGTCTTTTTCTCCCTCTCCCCTCCTTTTTTTTTTTTTTTTTTTTTTTGCTTGTTTAAAAAGATGTGATCAAATAAACAATGAATTTTGCTTTGGACAGATTTTAAATTTATTCCAAACTATGAATAAATCTGCAAAAATCATAAAACAGTTTTCTTGTGCTAAAATATCCCTATGGCCATTAGCAAACAAACAACAAGCCAGCATAATACAAAACACATTCTCTTTCAGTTGCCAATGCAGGCTCACCTTGTCTGTTTCAATCTCACCAACCACTTCATCCTCAGCCACTTGGTCACCCACAGCTATAAAATTATGGGGAAAAAATTACCAAAAAGAAAGGGCAATTCTCTGGAAAAAAAGTCTTGTACATTAAATCTAAGCTGTAGACAAACAGTACATACATGGTTTTGAAGACAGTGGGAAAGAATAAGCCAATGACATATATTCAAAATGCTTTATGCATCAATGAAATGAAAAATTTCATCATTTCTTAATGCGATACATGACAAAAGTCAGAAGCAATGTTACAAATATTTCATCTTTTGTACCCAAATCCAAAGCATTCAAATATTTATAGGTCCATTGTGAAATGACAAAATATTAAAGAATCAACATACCTTTCAAGTGTTCATACAATATTAAATTATTACCAATATTGGTATTTCAATTTAAGAAAGATTTCCTTCAAGAGTGCAAAATATCATTACAACATAAATTTAAAATACATTATGAACTTTTATCCAGCTATATCTGCTATTCATTCCTTAATCATATCAATTAACCTACTCGGTTTTATGTAATAGATGGTGCTATTTTTTCCATCTTTAAAGGTCTAAGAATTTTGCACAGAAGCGATGAAAATATAATCATCTGCAATTTAATTTCCTGTCTAATTTCACTAATGACTAATATCATGGAGCAATATTTAAATATCTCAGAAATGAAAAAAGATATTTAGTAACATACTAAGCACTGCGCCGTCTTTTACAAACCCCCATATCCTGGTTTTTCTAAGTGCCCACATTAATAAAAAGTACCTGTATCTTTTTAATGTAAACTCACCATCAGTTAAAATCATAGAAAACAACAATAATGCCACAGGAGCAAAAAAGAACTGAGTCAGAAAGGTGTTTAACAGAAACATTTTAACCTCCAACAAGCAGCTCAACAGTCAGTTGGCTAACAATTTGTACATCTAGAATCTTGTTCAGCAAAGAAGTGTGATGATCTGACCAGTTTGCTAGTGGAGTTCTTGGGTGAGTACTTTCTACTTTTTTTATGCATCACACACACACACACACACACACACAATCACAACACCGAAACACTGAAAATTGCCTTTGCACGAACCCACTAAATAAGCTTTATGCAAATTGTAGTGAAAATCACAAACACACAGAAACTTGAACCCACCGAGTAAGTGATTTACAGTGAACAGATAATCTAAATACCTCCCCCCCCCCTCCCACACACATACCAACCCCCTGCTCATTGACTTTGGCCAAAACCACTGTGAAAGTGATGTACTAGTATAGTGGATGTTTGCCCCCCTCCCTGTCCATCACAGATTCACACCTTCTAGTGTATAACTATAATTACCTTTCTCCCACCTGACATCTCCCTCTGTAACTGATTCTGCAAAAGGAGGGGTATTGACAACCCTGACCTCTGACCCTGCAATCACACAAGACATAGCTTAAGATATAATTTGTCACACAACAGACAAAAAATGTTTCTCTTTTGAAAGTCAAAATTTAAAATATTTTACAGTACGTTTTCTAACCTTATCATCAAGAAACAGCTATTTTAGCATTCATATAAATTGTTTGATGGGTTTTTTAATGGCACTCAGAATGACAAAATTTGCTAGTAAAATTATTTCATTTCTGAATTTAAATCTTTGATCTCAGTAACTCATACAGAAGTGCACCTAAATGTCTACTTTTCATATACTTACACCGTGTTACTGACAGGTGGAAATTCCGACATACACCTGAAGTATGTGATTTTGGAGAGCCTGCATCTTTTGGTCTGAAGAAGAAAAACAAACAATAAATTTTTAATTACAATTATCATTCACAAGCAAAACTACATATGTAGCATGCAAAGGGGTAATTCAATTAATTTAGAGATTTTTTGTGACTACCGTACTTACAATTATGTGACTAAAATATATGGTAAAAATTCAGTTTATAGCCTAATATCGACCAGTTTTGCAAATTTTGCATAGTCTATGCGGATCTGTTCAATTTTGAATCTGTTCACATCCCTGTGGAGCATACAACCCAAGCAAGCATAAGAGATACTTAATAAAGGGATGAAACTGGCATTTAGTAAAAAAGTAAAAAAATATTGAGTGGGGTCCAGGGGGCCTATGATAATTTTGTTCCCAAAAAGTGGGAAATCTGCTGATAGTTGGAAAAATATTATCCCGGTTAATATTATCATATACAATTATTGGCACTTCCATGAAGAGGTCTTAACCCTCTGTTTCATCCTCTGTACACAGACTGCTTATTGAGGAGACAGCAGGCACCATATATCCATAATAGCCTCTGGTATGACCTGGCCATGGAAAATGTGCCCAATGTCCTCCTGCGCCCAAGCTGAGCAGTGTACCAGCATACCAGGATATGGCATGTTTAAAACATTAAAACTTCATTGCCATAAAAACACAGAAATTTAAGATCAGACATGGAGGCTTATAATGGTATGAGACAGAAATGAATTTCTGACGGGAAGAACTAGGTTAAACAAATGGTATAGATAAAACATATAGAATGTGGTTATTATGACAATGGTCAGGGGNTTGAAAATCGCTAAGTTTGCTCGTTAGCGAGGTTGTTCAGTAGTTAGTTGTTCTAACTAACTACTGCTTTGTGAAACCGGCCCCTGGACGTTTAAAGGTATGCCTTCTATGTTTAAAATGTTCTAAAGTTATCTTTCCAATATCTACATATCCTGCAAAGTTAACTTTTCTTTCCCAGTGTCTACGTCATTCAGATCTTAAAAACAATAAATCCCTTCAAATAAAAGGACCTGATGTCAAAATTTCTTTCTGAAATGTTAAGGAAGGCGTCAGTTTAAATTATTGGCCAGTCATTGAAATTACAGTTTAAATAATTACAGTTTAAATTATTGGCCAGTCATTGAAATTAAAGTATTTCAACAGAAATGTTATTAAACATTGAATCCAACTGTACCCCTGGGCCGATTGAACAATGATCCCTGAGAAAAAGAGAAGTCCTTATTTTTGTGGAAAATTTAATTTGGCAAGAAAATCACAAGTTAGATACTTTAAGGGTCTGTTCAGAAGGAGTTAGGTTGTAACATCACTGCACACTAACTCTACAGGGACTCTGGCTGAATGAAATCAGATTAACAGACCAACATGCCTCCTCCTGGTTTTTAGTAAAATACAGAGAAGCTGGTAATCATAGATTATATGAGTATGTTGTAAACAAGAGGCAGCATATTAATCTGAACACCTCATAGTATCAATATCTCAGCAACCACAATAGTCCAGGCTATCTATGGTTTGAAGTCAAAGTAATTGCAATAGTTTTTATTTTACCACAGTGCTTTTGTAAGAAGTCCTCAAAATGACATACTAAAAGTCCTAAGGAATCCTAGCATGGGAAATATGAAAAAATCCAAGATGGCTGCCAATTCCATAGTTATAAATGGGTATCTACTACAACCAGGGAGAAAAAGTGCCCAATATCAAATTTAAATTGCTTTTCAGCATTTTCTATAACTTCAGTACCTTTATAATATGTATATGTTGGCAGAAATATGTGTATCCTATGGCAATTTGAGAAAATCCAAGACAGCTGCCATTTCCCACAGTAATTTATGTGCTTCAGCTACATAAGTATATGCTTGGAGGAAAAGTGTTCATTATAAAATCAAGTTTGACTTACATTGCTCTCCACATTGTTATTAGACCTATAATATATATCTTGTTGTTATCTAGTACATATTCCTTGAACATTTTTGAAAAAAAAAATCCAACATGGCCACCATTTACCATACTATTACATTAACTACTGTCAGGAATTTATTGTCCATTAACAAATATAGTTTGATTCCGAGTATTTTTTACACCCTTGTTACACACACATAGAATATAATTAAATTATAGTGTGGAGAGTAACAAGTATGTTTTCCTAGGTATTTGAATAAAACTTGGCCGCCATTTGCTATACGAATACTGCATATCGTTTCTTAGTTTTCATAACATCCTTAATACCCACATGATATTTATCCCGTGGGGAACAAACATGTTACCTTGGGTTTGCAAGGAAATCCAAGATGGCCACCATTTCCTTCGAAAAACTAGTACATAGGTTACAATTACTGCCAGCAAAACAAAGATTTCATTATTGTATGTAATAAACTTTAGTCTGTTTCTCATTATTTAAATCCTTCTATCTCCCCTATGATGCGGGTATGTTAAAAGCGTATATCTTTGAGAACTTTGAGAAAAAAGATGACCACCATGTGCTTTAGGAAATGAGGATATACTAGTTTTCCTGATATAATTGGTAGTCACCTAGCAGTTTTCTCATAAAACCCCAAGTGAAGGATATGAGAAAACACTGACAAACAAAACTAATTTGATATTGAACTCATATCTCCCTTGCAACAATTGAAACCCAATGTACTACTATTCCTAAGGTTAATAACAGCCACTTGTTATCCAGCAGATATGCACACAGAAGAAATAAGAATAAGTAAAAACTGGAAAACAACACTAAGTTATGGTACTTTTAGTATGTCATTTTGGGGAGTTCAAAGGAAAGTATTGTGGTAAAATAAAAACTGCTGCAATTACTTTGAGGTTTGGCCCTAAAATGGCTTAGATTACCTGGACTATAATATGAATTTATTTCTTTGCCTCCTGTTAAAACATTTATGTGAAAAAAATTATATGATCACCTTGATGAGAGGACCAAGTTTCTGCTCTTCAAAGGTTCTGAAAAATTTTAAATGCAAATATGACACGTGCTGTAAATTAGTGGAATAATGTCCCTTACTTCTCAGAAAATGCTATCAATGTGCAACAAACACTTATCTCTTGCTTTAATTCTGGGTTGATATAAACAATCAAATCATAGGGCGTGTAGAATCAAGATAGGATACTCATTATACTTAATCTTTAACTTGCACTTCATGATTTTAAATAGCAGAGATCTTTCTTAACAATTATTCTACATTCAAAAATTATCTCTTACCAACAGATATGCCACTTCGGTTCCTAATACAAGTGACCAATATCTAAAAAGTAAAAGGAGAATGATTGAGAAATGCATTTAAGAACAAATGTTTTTCTGATAGACCATAATGCATAGATGATGATATGAAACATATACCTACTGGTCCATAATGAGATCTAGGGCCTGGAGACTGTAATTAGTAATTATTTCAGGTTTATTATACAAATATACATTATTCATAATTCTTCGAAATGGCTGTGATAAAGCATGAACTAAATCTGTAACAATTAAACTACTGAGAAACACCTCTCAATATTATTTCATCCATTACCTTAACCCTCACACTGCCCAAAACGCTTGAGAGTCTTTGTGGTTTTTCAATTTATGCACCCGATTTTTAAATCATATCGATAGCAATTTCACGACAATCGTTTTCTAACTAAGCAAGGTTGAAGGTGACAGCCGAGCGTTAAGATGTTATTAATGTTGTCTCACCAACATCGACAGTTTAGATATCAAAAAAGGAATAAATTGAAGTGCTATACGATAGCCAAAACCTATTTATAACCAAACTGAAATTATTTCATCACATTTAGATCTATATGCAATAACATTAACACGAGAGTCGAGAAAATAATATCAAAGTGTAAAACTTCAGTGAATGAGTAATTTTCTGTGACCTTATCGATAAGCGGGTGTAAGGTATACATAGTTACCCCCAACCCTCTTGATATTTAGTTACTTTTAATTTACCTTTTCTTTTTCCACAACCTGTCTACCTGTCAGAAACTTGGAGATACTTTGTGGTAGCCGACGACTGGACGCCAGAAAGGTAGCCATTTTAGCAATAACGTGGTTTGTCTGCGCGTGCGTAGTAGGCCAACAAAAGTAGGTCATGACTTCCTAACTTTCGTTCTAACATGATCACTTCAATAGGGACAGTCGGTCATCCGGGCACTTTACCTTAGCAACCGGCATCTGGGGTAAAACAAATCGGGCAACATGGCGGATCGCATTGACTTCTATGAAAAAGTTGGCAGACTTTATCAGAAGATATCATACTTCACAGTTCCTGACCACTTGTGTCAGTGAGGTTGTGTTGTTTACCTGGTTGATTTCCTTTACAGGCTTTTGTAATTAGCCGCTGCACACCTGGTTAAGAGATAAAATCGGCCTTAACTGCCGATCATTATCTGTGATCGGGAATCTTACAGTGGTAGATTGCAAAGACTCATTTGCTTACCTGGATGAGCATATTATACACATCTGTTTGAAAAGAAAAGCATGTGGAAGCAACTGATAATATCAAGGAAGGTCTCAATTGTACTTATAACTGTTGACATTGCATATTGCTGACACATATGGCGGGTAGATTTTCAAGCTTAATGAATTAAACCGGTACCGTTTAACTCTCAGGCACGCGTACAAAAGTGAAATGGTGGAAGCTTGCTGTGCACCAGGTGACACTACCAACACATTAATAAAAATCTTATGGGGTTTGTTAAATTTCAAATATCAACGGAAAAGTAAACGACTGTTGTAGGCTATAGGTCGTGCAAACGTGACTAAACACGGGATTGTTGATCGAAACAAAATTTGGTCATAGCTATTCATGCACTACGAGATTTGTGTATGTGTGTATAGTTCATTTTATCATAGATAAGGAGAAAATCATTGTACCTTGTTTGGTATTTATGTTTGTCATTTGTTACATGAATTAATGGGTAGTATTTACAAGAAATTGAGATTGCATCTTGTGTTGGCGTGTGTGACGGTAGGCCCTGTATCAATTCTTTTAGTTAAAATTAATGGACTATAACGTCGGACTTTTTGTTGTAAGTGAATTGAGGGCGTTATAAAGATAAGAAAAAATATATACGTCAATATATTGACAAACCTGAGTTAATGCCTAAATTTTTAAGTTATCAAGTAAAATATAAAAAAAAAGTTGCCATAAATAAAGCGACCTTAACTTGTAAAATAACATACAGCTTTATTACCGTGTTTGTTATTCAATTTAACTTTAACCTTGTACATTTTGAAACTTAATGTTCTGTCTTCCATGATATTTTGCCAATTTTTGTACCAGAAAAGTGCACAATAAGATTGTAAACACTCAAAGACGCATAGCTGCAAATATTAATACAGGTAACGCCACGTGTCTTCTCTTCCAAAATGTTAGCAAGCAACTGTTTATGCTGTCCTTCCAGGCTTGTATTAATATACATGTTCTGTATACAAATCAAAGAGGCCATGGGACCGATGACATTGCCCCTATCCCGTTCCCCTGGCTATTGCAGCAGCAGGTTATTTAATCACAATTTGTAGAAATCGTATTCTAATAACTTCTCAGTGTTGCACATTTTCCAGGCCTTTCTTACGATCCACGTTCTAAGAAGCCATTCCTATATCACCAACTTATGTACATGTATATATTTAGGGTGGACATTTGCGTATGCAGTTAAGACCAATTTATCCCGTAACAAGTTAAACAGAAGCTTATTACAAAGGCCTGCTAACTCAATAGTCCAGGTAAATGATTCAACCCGCCAGACACAAAAGGTCAAGCATTGCCTTTGCAAAATCTTCTGATGTAAGCTTCCCGATCACAGATAACGATCGGTAATTATGTTAAGGCCGATTTTATCTCTTAACCAGGTGTTGAGCGGCTAATTACAAAGGCCTGTAAAAGAAATCGACCAGGTAAATAACTCATCCTTACTGACACAAGTGGTCAGGCACTGTGAAGTATGATAACTTCGGACAAAGTCTGCCAACTTTTACATAGAAATCAATGCGATCCGCCATGTTGCCCTATTTGTTTTACCCCAGATGCCGGTTGCTAAGGCGCGTGACGTCAGCCCGACTGTCCCTATGACCAAACAGCGTTGGTTTTTTGTACTTTTCCAGATTTGTCATTTTAATCGGATCGCTTTATTTGGTCTTTGAAGTATTTTTTGGTCATTTGGAAGTTGGCGACATGACTAGTATAGACAAACCTAGCCTATACGGAAACCGATGTCGCACTCTCAGACCGCCTTGACAAAAACAGGAAAAGGTACATGTACTCAGTACTTGTACTTCACGTTATAGACTGGTACTGTTCGTTTTTCTGTACATGACTTTCGGTGTTTTGTGATGATTTTAAACGCATAGATTTTCAGTCAAACAACAACGTACTAAAACTATTCAGAGGGATATTGGATTATACTACCCGGTAGTCGCTTCTCACTTTTTAATCTGTAGAAATTTATGGGCAAAAATACTTGATTTCGTTAGAAAAAATAAAACGACAAAAATCGATCTTCTTAAAACTCATGACAAGAGAAGGAAAATGTTATAAATGATTAAGATAAATTTTATATGAATAAAAGAGTAAATGAAACATTTTCTGAATATTCATGTAAATTTAGACAAAGCACAGTAGCTATATACACTGTACTGTACTGAGTACAGTATGCTGGTACCATGTAACTTTTAGTTCAGTAAAATAAGTTATGGAGTCGTTTCATCATTTCACCTGTGCAGAGTTTAAGACATGGAGCCTGGAAATCTCCGTAGCAGAGTGCCCATAGTGCCCAGCACCTGGGGTTTTATTATAAAGGGCTATTAAATATTGTAGGGGTCTGGGTGATAATAAAAAAGACCCTCACACAGTGGCAAATTGTTGGCTTCATTATTTGTGGTGTCCAAACTAAACTTGACTGACCTTGCCTTACAGCACACTTATAAAAGATTATTTCCTTTTTTTATTTATATATACGCATATTGCAGCTGCTTGTCACCTAATTAAAATTATTCTACATGTACATTAATTGTAGTTACTGCAGTACATGTATGTTTGTCTGTGTTAGTTTTCTACTTTCATTTTCTTGTAAAATCGGAGCTATATACATGAAGATTATTCATTTTTTCTTCAATTAAAGAGCTTACTTCTTACATTTAAGAGTCAAGATAAAGGGTAATTCATTTGACAGAAGTAAGGTAAAGGAAATGCATATTAGTAATTAGGTGTGATCATTGTAAAGTGACATTGGGAAATTTTATCATATACTGGTAAGTGCTCATTTTATTTGATACATGTTAGGCATAATGCATGCTTTTACAAAAAGAATTTACAGTTACACAGATAATTATATATTTGTTACTGAGATTGAAGTTATTATTAATTTACTTTATTTTTAATTTATAATTTCTTTCTTTATTATTACCTTTTTTTTAAACAAAGAAAAGATCTATTCTCAGTTATTGTTTATATAAAAGAGAAATTTTGTTCCAACGTTGATAGTTCTGAGGGATCAGTATCAATTTCCACCAATAAATAAATGAAATAAAATAAAATAAAAATAATAAAAAACAAGTAATTTTTACAGGTGGTGCTGCTAAATTAAAATATCTTGCCTATGTTTATATTTTTATCCTGCAAAGCTTCTTATCTTTGCCAATGCAAACCTCCAAAAAGTTTATCCGAATCCTGCTTTATGTTATTTTCTTCTGAGCTTCAGATCCTTGCAAGGTTCAAACCATGGCATGTTTATTAACACTGGATATCATTGCTGGGTTTTGTTGTATCTTGGACATAATAATCGTTATTATGTCCAAGGTTGTATATACCTTAACAGAAATGAGGTCCCTATATCATGTCTGGTGATAAACAAGAATGAAAATCAGCAACCTTAAATTTTGTGTAGCAGTTTTTAAAATATATTTATATATTGATTTAAACGAATCTAAAAATAACTATAAAAATAATGGGTAGCATGAGATTAATTTTAATGTTAAGGTTGCCAAGTACAGGTACGTGGTCATGGAAATAGCCAGTTTCACATTGAAAAAATTGCACTTTTTTAGGCTTAGTATTGCCCCCATGTAACTCTTTAATTTTCAATAACTTTTAAAAATTGTTGAGCTTGTAGAGCTTGAAGGTTAAATTAAAAAAAGACAAAAAGTTTCTAAACTCATTTTTTGAATAGCTGAGACATTAATCAAAGTCGCCACATAATTTTGATCAACATAAAATATTTGATTTAAAGGGTTTGGGATTAAATTAAGCTCCAGGGTTTAATTGCTAGATCCCTGCAAGGACAGTGCATGCAGAGGCGGGAAGATTATCAGTGGCTCTTTCATGTAGGGTCCACCATATTTGATCCATGGATCAGTAGATCCGAGGATCATCTGTTGTGCATGCCCTCTAAGTTTAAAATAAAAATCAGTATGATCTGTTGATAAAATAATATGATATAATAAAATATATTGTACTCATTGAAATCTGTGTTGCTGCTTGATAAAAACTGGTTTTGCTGGTATTTCTGGTAGAGATTGTTTTGAGGGACAATCGCGCTTAGTTACAGGCATTTGGCTATCTCCAATGATTCCTATTGTAACAGCTTGGCACAACTCAACCATGAGTAAAACACAATGTCAACTTCCAACCTAACACAATTGAAATCATTATCCCAATCCATGCACCATCTAAATGCAAATAATGCACTCATTTTGGAAGCATTATTGTGTAACCTTAGAAGTTAACTGAAAATGCTTTCTGTCTTTTATTTCAGAAATTTAGAACAAACATTCCTTGTTTCTGTTTTAAACATCATAAGTATGCTGGGTTAACATGATTTCAAAACATTTTTACATCTGTGAAATCATAAACTTTTTTGCCTTCACATTTTTGAGTCAGATCAACTGGGATTTGATATACAGTGATTAGATTAAATTGAATTTTCAATACAAAGCAGCCTAAACTATGTTGAGAATGTCAGTCTTGCTGTAAATTTTAGAATTAATGTATTATTATTATTATGAGGAATATAAAGTGCCTGCTAAAAAAAAAAATGAGACTGCTTATTTTGGAAACAGAATATTTTTAAATCAAAAGTGCCTCAAACACATCTAAAGTAAATAATTCTAACACACCTGAGCTGTCATTCTAGGTTTGCCACTGCATGCACTGTCAATGTTCTTCCTCGAAAAAATGATACAAAAATAAATTGCAACTTTATATGTAAGAATTACTTATTCAAAACCCACATTGTTCCAAAGAAACCATATTCCAATGTGTAGATATTGGATCTTAGATTATAATCATTCTGTATTGTCTGTTGCTTCATTATATCTGAACAGGCTGATAGACACAGCTATATAAAATTTATGTTTCTCATTTAGAGTAAGAGGTAAAAAAAAAGTGAGCTAGATATTTTCATTTGATTATTTCAAAAAGGTATGACAACATTAGAATTTTTGTATTAAGTTATCCTGTTTGTTTTTGAATATTGACTTTCAGCCATTTGAGAGTTCCCTGTATTTGAAAATTAAAATTCACATTATCCCTCGTAATTTGAAAAACTGAATATAATGCCCATTTTGAGCTGGGTGCACTTTGTATTTGACAACAACATTGGAAACCATGTCTCTTGAAAGCTGAGTGCATATTGATACAGGTGATATCATTCCTTCTAGACAATTTAGTTGTGCTATATTTGGCAGCTTCTACTATTATTCAGTAAGAGTAAACTGTGAAGGAGTAAAATATATTATTGATTCAAAGATGGGAAATGTTGATATTATTAAACACAGTAATCCATTTTAAATATCCATTTTGTGGTACAGCTTTACCTTTTGTTTGATAACTCCAAGTTTTGAAATGGGTAAATCTGCACTATGGATGGGTAATTAGAATCCACAAGGTTTAAAACAAATCTGTTGTGACTTGTGAAGATGAAGAGCAAATTATCAGTAAGCATCAGCACTTTATAAGATAAAAAATTGCACGAAAAAAAAAAAAAACCTTTTAATTCTGTTTAGATTTATAAGTGTTCTGTCACAGGTTTAGATATTTTGGTCATCCAAGGAACATGATTTCAGTTAGTCCATAAAGTGACACTTGATTCACCAAAACTAAGAAATGAAGACTGAAATTCTCTTCACATTTAAAACCCCCTTTACACTGGATGGTGTCCTTTCAGCGTCCTTTGTGTGACCATGAAACTGGCATCGCTGTTGTCGTAAAAAGGAGTCACAAGCATTGCTTTGGTTGGAAAATGAATGCTCAATGATCAGCCATGTTGTCTGCACTTTAAGTATTATTGTTTTAATACTCTAAAATGGGACAAGAACGTACGCCGTCCAGTGTAAATGGGGTTTAAGGCCCTTTTCATATCAAGCAGTACACTTAACTGGATCGGTCCACTTTGTGAGATTGACAACAAAATAGCCTGGCTATTATATAAGAAACTCACCTAAATGGAACCCCCATGTCCCCCATGGCCAATTAATTAGCTTAACTAAACAGGAGGAGTAAATTTGTGGAGATTTTGAGAAAACGAATAAAATGGGTAAAACCTCCTCTAGCATAATAGCATGTTAGGATCTAACTCTCAAAGTGGATCAGTTCAGTTCGGTATACTGCTCGATTTGATAGTCGTAATTGATGAGCACCTCGGTGATCTAGTGAAGCTGGGCAGGGTGGATTATTTGTAGCAACAAGGAGAGGAAGTCACCAAGAGTGCAAGCCTTATGTGTCATTTCATCAAAGTATCTAACTTCTGTCATTCAGTTTTACAGCATTGTAATTTGGTAAAGCCCCCTTTACACTGGACGGCGTCCTTTCTGCGTCCAGCAGTACGGCCCCATTTGAGAGTTTAAAAATTATAATATTTTACCTGCCGACAACTGGCCGATCATTGAGCATTCATTCTGATACAAAATTAATGCTCGTGCCTCCTTATTAAGACCACAGCGATGCCAAATTTCATGGTCGCAGAGAGGACGCAGAAAGGACGCCGTCCAGTGTAAAGGGGGTATAAGTAAAATGTCTGGTTTACAAATATCACATTTTTAAATCTGTTTAAGTGATTTGTAGGACTAAGAGATGGGTCAAGCATTTTAATCAGCCAGTTGGAAATATTATTATAATTTTTATTTGATTTGTCATTATTTCTTTTTTATTAAAAGCTATTAGCAATTCTCCATACTGCTTGCTTTTTTGCATCCTTAAGTTTGCACATTTAACAGCTTTTGTGGCCTAATTTAAGTAAAAATAATTATAAAGAGTTACATAAAACCAGTATTCATCTCAGTGCTCTGTACAATGTAAAAATTAAAATGGGAGATTGTAAAACATTTCATTAAAAAATTCTGACCACACATTCTTAGATTCAAAAACATGCCAGTTTGAATTACCAATTACATATATACTAGGAAATACTCCGTTCCTGGAAAAATGAAGTTTCATTATCCAATTGACACCTTTGAATGTTTATGTTCAAAAAGAAAGAAATTGTTTTAGTGACAAATTCCCCAGTTGGTAAGCAGCTTAAGGAAAGGCATTACCTGTACTTGATTACAAATACTGGCATGCTACCAGCATTTATTGGTCAGGGAAGTTTTAAAAAGGTATATGCATCAACTATGCAATAGCTCCTTTGATTTCTTCAGTTTCTTCCAGAGACTTGCTTTAAATCTGCATGATGTTTATCTTTAATCTTTTTTTTTCTGAATATAATGATGTCTCAAAAGTATGAAAATATTAGGAATACCCTTTTTGAGGAAACACTCACTTCTCTGTCTGGGAGCTAAACAATTGTTTCTATGTGTTTTTAATCAGGATAATACTGCTTATTGCTAAAGTGCAATTTAAGCAGAACACTTAATCTTTGTTTCTTCTATCCTCTGGGGACACAATTGTAAAAGCCAACCTAACAGGTAACAGTTACACACAATGCCCTCATGTTGTTTAGGAGATTGAGTTACTACAACTTCAAAGACGAGCTTACAGCGTTGACAGATTAAAACAACAATAGGATCAATTACTTTGTAATGGAAGAGTGCTAAGAAGCCTGGGTGAAAGCAGTTTATCATTGCTCGCCATGACTTATTTATCAGGTACATTACACAAATGTCCACAGGTTTTCATTTTCTTAATTTTCCCAAGACAATTGATATGATAAATGAATGCTGTGTCTAAGTAAAGGAAAAACATGGGACTATTCATTAGTAAATGCCTTCCTCTTCAGAGAGAACCACACTGGAAGATAGAGCTGTCTATTGTTTGATCAGTTGTTAAAACTGACAAAGTATCTGCTCAGCAGGCAGGTGCTTTAAGAAAACTTATAGCACCTGCAATGTCTTAATTCATGCTCAGAGCCTGAGAATAATCAATCCGTCTCCTGTTAAGGATAACTGTGGCTTTGATAATTAACATACTCACTATGCTAGTTCCAGGTCTGAGGAGATATGGTCAAGTGTCCACTCCTGGATTGCCATGTTAAAAGGGAATATTATATTTACACCTGTACAAAGGTAAAGATGTTGATGTTCTTATGCCTGCTATCGTAAGTTTCTATTGTCTTTTGCCCTGTTATCACTCAAGGACCTGACTATTATTAAGTAAGTTGTTAGCAAAGTACAAAGAGAATGTGAGAGTGTAATTATGAACTTCAGTATAGGAACATTCACCCTGAAGGAGGTACAGAGGTTGTGGGATATATATATATATATAAGACTACTATACCCATGTATGACTACACAGGGAACTAATAACATATACCAGTATTTTTCTGTGTTCTTCTGAGTCTACAATTCATGCAGTTTGTATGTGACTACATTATTCAGGTAATTTGAACAAGTTTGGATTTTCTGTATATTAGATACTAGTACTTTATAATAATAATAATAATAATAATAATAATAATAATAATAATAATAATAATAATAATGGGAATGAGTGGTCATTAGTAGCCACATTCATAAATTGTGAAAATATTAGAAAGTTTTAATATATGATTTGTACAAACCAATTAGTGTGGATTAAAAAAATATTGTTTAAATAATGAGAGGATACATAGATTTAGAGTTCTTACCAGTATCTGTCATTTTATGAGGATTTTCCTGATTTATCTTGATTATTTCAATGTATTAATCTTTCAGAATTTAACCATTAAGCAATGTAAAACCAAGATTATTTAAAACTCATAACTGTCTTTAAATTTATTTAATTGATTTATTGAGTGACATGTTGTGTTGTTCAAGGTTAATTTCTTTGATGAACTTGACGTCAATCAACTTAGGTCACTTTATAAAGGCACTTTAGTAACTGTGCCTCTGCATCTGCTTCCTCGACATTATGTTGAAACTGATCCGTTAGAGAAAAAGAATATCTCTTGATTGGAACAGCATTCATGTTATATTTTATATAGATTTTCCATAAGAAAGGTAGAGTATTTGAATTTTCCATATTGGTATAGAAGATAGCTTTTGCTAAGATGGTCTAAAAATTCCACAATTTCAGACATTTGGTTCTTATGTTAGGAATAAGAAAGTTATTTTTTACAGACAAGTCACTTAAAACTTAATAATTAACCTTCTTTTAATTAGGAAGCCTGGGACAGGATTAGAAAATGACACACTAATCATATCAGTTATGGTATTGTTAGAATGGGGAAGATTAAATGGAGCCTGTTGACACAAAATGAGTCGCTGACTTGCTTATGAATATGCATGAGGTCATGTGACTTCTTAATGTGTATCTGATAAGATAGATATATAAGTATGAACGGTCCATCAGCGAACAACCCATTTCTCAGTTCAGTAAGAGCTCTCAACTCATTAGACCTGCAAAAAGTATTGATGATAGCAAGGCACCTTTAGTAAGGTAAATACTTTATTTTGTTTCTTTTCATTTAACAAGGGTTTATGTATGTTGATATTGATACTGCTAGTAAATGTACATGTATATGCTCAATCATGGGAGCACTCTTTTATTATTCATGGAAATTATTCTAATGTCTTTAACCATTTTGACAAAGAGATTTTTGAAATTTTTTGTTAGTTGCAAATTGAATTTGAAAATTTGATGGACAAATAACCAATGATGACAGTTATCAATTATCATACACTTGTTCAAAAGAACACTATAACACTTATAAGTCTTGCAAGAAATTTTTGAGAGATGTTTTTTGTCTGTTTCAAAGAGATTTTGATTTAAAATACTAATAGATTATGCATTTACAGTTAAGTTATAAAATGGGGGAATTATAGAGCCTTTGTTATCAGTTTTTTTAAATGTTAAGAGTTTTCCCACGAATTAGAAGAACCCATAGTTGCCACAAGAAGTAAAGAAAGGGACATAATGACTAGACATATTTCTATGCATGCAGACCCTACAAAATTTTAAAGCTTTTCCTTTAGAATTTTGAATCCTTCGAGAAAATTTATGATTGCCAAGTGCAATACCCATTTGTATCATGCTTTGCAAAATGAGCCATCAAATTGTGGACATTTGCTTCTTAATGTCCCGAATTCAAGATCAGTTTTGTGTCTTAAAATGTAAACACCTCAGCTCAGTGCTAATCTGCTGGTTTTTCATGTTTTTTTCACACTTTCTGATACCTGTATGTTAATGTTGGTTTTTGAATATACTCTTTCTCAAGTTTGATTAAAAATTTACACATAGACTTCCAAGCTGTTAAGCCTTTCCTGATAACTTATTTAAGAAAATGTCTTATTTTTCCGAAGATTGCTGAAAAATTAATGTATGATTGCATGCATCTAGTAGAAAAGCAGGTTTTGCGGACATTTTGAATGAGATATTTCACAAGTCCTTTGACTTCAGAGTGTATAGGTGTAAGCAATGGTTGGTTTTAGTATATATCAAAGAAGATTTTTAGCAGCACACATTTTATAACTTTGAGTCCATGTCATTACTTCTTATTGAGAATTTTTAATATGATAGGAATTAATTTCTTGAATATTATGAAACTTTATTTTCAAAAAGGATCTGGTTTATCAGTATTGGTGAGATGTTATCACTTCAGCTTGAATTTATTTTTCATCTAAATCATTTAGTTAAAAGAGAGAAGAAAATAAAAAAGTTTCCTATCTTGTACATCAGTTTGAACTAACATAGATTTGACTTCAAATGTGGCTGCTGAACATTAAATGTCAAGTAAAATTATTAACCAGAACTGAAATGTTATTTTATGTCTGTGAATATGTCCTTGCAGATTGCCCTGTGCAAACTAATTCTGAATGCTTGTATTTTGTTTGTTAAGTTTAAAAGGTATCCTTTGATAACTAAATCATTTGTAAATCAGTTAGGTCATCTGATGCTCTTTTTAAACAAAATTATCATTTTATTTATGTAATTTGTACAAAGAGGGCACATTACTTAACTGACATTACTTTTTTTTGTTAAACCGATGCATAATTACAAAAAAAGTGTTAGATTTTACAGGCACATGTCAGAATCATACTATACATCCAATCATGCTTTATAACAATGCATTGTTTAATATCTTAACATGCTGACTGTAATTTATTTATCAGAAGTATTAAAGTCATGATAAGATTTTGAAAATTCTGACTTAAACACGTTTTGCATGAACTGTTAGTTAAAGTGGGGGGTGATCACCTACCAGACAAAACTCCTGCCATGTTATGTCATGGAATGTCAAAAATCGCGTGCATGTTCATTTGCAGGAACTAATTACAGAACTAATTTTCTTTCAAATTTCAGGAATGAGAGATTAAGACAACTATCCTCACACTGAGTCACCCTTGTTAAGCTTCAGGTTATGTAGATGGCCACGATTTAGACTATGACCACTCACAGTATTTCTGAAAAAGAAAGCAAGAGTCTGTTTGAGGAAGAATTCCAAGATTTAAACCAGGTAAGGGAAGACAAAGATTACTCTGCTAGTGAAAATCTTGAAAAAAGCAAGTCATCTAACTTTAAGGACAATCTCTCTTCTACAAAAATGCTTTCTTCTGCTGAGAATGAGAATAAAAATACAGATGATGTAGACAATGAAGGGAAAGTTGAGGCTGATTTTGACGAGTGTGAAATAAAAATGACAAACGAGAGCAGTAAAGTTGGTGCCTTGGGCAAAAGACAACATGATAACGGGATCGGGGCAGGTCATTATGCCTTTAACTTTGACGACATAGCTGCTTTTAATCTTCATCATTACAATTTGATGCACCCCTTTCACAGCAGTGAGAACCTCTGTCCTGACGCATCCAAATTATTGAAGGGAATTTTGCAGAACAGAGAGGCCTGGTTGAAACAGCAGATTCCCCAGAAGCTGCAGACCCAGAGGCAAAGATACATTGAGCAACGCGCTGTGACCAAGATGTTGACCACAGGCACACTTCCTAACTCCAGCAGCTTTATGGATAACCTTTATGGAAGTCACCCACGCCTCGGGAGTGAACAAATGGAACCAGAGAAAAGTTCCCCACAGACTGGAAGTCCTTATGAGTCTGCTGATGATCTTTCAGATCAAGAAAATGACAATGAGTTTGAACTGATGGACAGAAATGAATCAAACGATGGTGAAAAAGATGAAGATGAGGAGGAGAAAGAGAAGACAGAAAGTGAAAATGGTTCCCAGGATAAAACAAATGGTGACTATCCTTCAAATGTAGAGGAGTCCAAGGATGTGAAACGGGCACGAGTGGAGAATATTATAACTAGTATGCGTACCCAATCTAGCCAGGACCCTGATGGGGCAGTGACTAGCCCACAAGAAAATAGACGAAAGCGTAAACAGAGTCAACCTCAGCAGCACGAAGCCAGTAAACACATAAGTGGTGAACACCAGTTAAAATATCGTAAAGTTCAATGTGACCAGATTGGGGAGCAGCTGAAACAGATGCAGAGACAGTTGCAACAAATGTATCAACAATATGCACAGCTATATACCCAAAATGCAGAACAAGCTGGACTTTTTGAAGTGGATGACATTCCACAAGTTAAAAGCAGTCCGATTAAAGATAATTTTGAAAATCACAAGGATACTATTGATCCTACATTGCTAAAAGATGAGATGACAAGAAGACCTTACAACAAATCAAAAGAAGAAAAAGTGATGTCAGCCAGTTACAAATCTGATGCCATGCCCGAAAATCTGCAAGAACTTGCAAACACACTGAAAAGTGAATTTGTGAGAGCCTTGGATGACATGGTGGATTCCATTGTGTCAAAGGTTCTGGCCAAGAATAAGTCGCTTTCCCTGAAAAAGGTGGCTGGAGGCACTGGTTTTTCATCCAATGGCTCGCATCATCCTCAAGATCAGCAGCAGAAACAGTCACCTCAACAACAGCTCCACCGGCCACAGCTCCCATATCCACAGCGAGATGACAGAAAACTGAGCCCCATGGTCACATTGGGAAATGAAGTTCAGAGGCCATTCGAACTCCCTCAGTGTAAAGTCACTGAGGGTCATCGTGCTAATCCAGAGAGGTTTCCCCGTGGGTTCCTAGAGATTCCTCGTCCAATTCCTGTCCATGGGTTGTATCCTCATCCTTTCTACTACCATCACACTCAGGTGCCGACTCCTACCTCAATTCCTCTTCCTCCTCGTGAGCCTGAACAGACGGAGGCCCTGCCACTGCTGGTGACGACCCCACCTCCAAAGAAGAAAAGGACAAAGGTCACTGATACTCGTCTATCACCTCGTGCTGCCAGGGCCTTGTTACAGGAGCCCGTGCCCCATCAGGATCCCGAGGACAAGCCAGCTGGACCAAGCCAAAGAGAGCCATATCATTCTATGATACCTTCATCACTTCCAACAAGTGTAGCCATTCCAAACCCGAGTCTACAGCACTCTGATGTCATGTCGCTTCATTCCTATGGCGAACACAATGGCGTGTTTTACCATGGCAACAGGCCACAGACAAGTGACCATTCCCCCCCTATTGGTGACCATAGCTCTCCCAGCTTGACTGCCCACACTCCAACTGAAGGCAGCATGCCCAGGGGATTCCACATGAAACATGAGCAGCAGTCAGACTATACTGGTAGTCCTCACAGTGACATCCACTCCTATGACAACATGCAGCTGATATCCTTTTTATAAAATACATGTGAAATTGATGTGTGTGTGTGTGTGTTTTTGTGTTTACTTACAGAATGCATATTAATGTCAGCTTGTTTATGATGTCTTCAGGTATATTATAAGCAGAAAATGCTACGTTTGAGGAGATTTTGACATTTTCCATATTTTCTTTTAATGTCAATTTCATTTTCATTTTATAATCATTATAATTGAAATTTTGTTGTGGCAATTTTTTTTTTTTTTTTTTNTATGGCGAACACAATGGCGTGTTTTACCATGGCAACAGGCCACAGACAAGTGACCATTCCCCCCCTATTGGTGACCATAGCTCTCCCAGCTTGACTGCCCACACTCCAACTGAAGGCAGCATGCCCAGGGGATTCCACATGAAACATGAGCAGCAGTCAGACTATACTGGTAGTCCTCACAGTGACATCCACTCCTATGACAACATGCAGCTGATATCCTTTTTATAAAATACATGTGAAATTGATGTGTGTGTGTGCGTGTTTTTGTGTTTACTTACAGAATGCATATTAATGTTAGCTCGTTTATGATGTCTTCAGGTATATTATAAGCAGAAAATGCTACGTTTGAGGAGATTTTGACATTTTCCATATTTTCTTTTAATGTCAATTTCATTTTCATTTTATAATCATTATAATTGAAATTTTGTTGTGGCAATTTTTTTGCATTATTTTGCAGTAGAGATAAAGCCCTTATCTTAGCCTTTTTTCATTTTGTTAATTATTTTTAAGTAATACAGATTCTGTTTTCAGAACACTAATATTTAATTTATCCATTACTTTTTGATGACATAAATCACTTTATTGTGACCCAAAGATAGGATTTTAAAAAATTGTTTTTTGTGGTTCAATTTTGTTTTATTATGCTTATTTTTAAACTTCACAAGTGTGTTGTCTTTCAGAAAGAAAGTGGGAAAAAATTATTGAACTGCTTCAACTACATATGAACTTGCAAACCTAACAGTGAAAGTGGCTAAATAAAAAATACAGAATTATATGCATCAGTACTAAAAAGGGGCTATCACTTTGTTGAAATAGCAAAGATGGAAAAAAAATCAATAGTACATTTCACACGGAATGTTGTGTGTGCCATGCTCATCTTTGTAATGATGTGTTGCAAAAGAGAAAACTGCATGTGTTATGAAAACTTATCGGGTCGTGAAAGTACCATCTTTAGAAAAGAACCTTCTAAGTAAATTAGCTGGTGTGAGACTCTTGTTTGTGGTTGAACATCCCAAGTCTGACGGTTTTTGTGGTAAGATTTTTTTAACCCATGTATCCCTTTGAAATGCTAACATGAAAGAATTTTTTTTCATTTTTGAACTTAAAACTCCATGAATTATGTTTATTATTTTTGTTCTATGATCTTCATTTAAAACTAATCGGCATGCAGCAAAATATTTCTTGGATTTGCATTTAACAAAAGTGAATTTTCAATTATTTCCAGAAGTAAAGTTAACAGACAATTGAAATTTGAGTCTATTATTGAAAATGATTGATAGGGTTCAATAAGACAGTGCAGTTCTGACACGAGTACAGATGCTTATCACAACATAAAATCTAATGTCAAGAAGTGCCTTCTCTTTTGTAGAAATCAGAGCTGGGGATGGTAAGATAGATGACTTGGCAGATTTCACCATCTGCTTATCTTTTTCTTAATCTCGTCTTTTCTTGTTGAAGAGAGTCGAGTTATTGTGAGGCACATGTCCCAGACCTCCCTTAACTTTGCTGCTGACATTATGACGACTGGTTGTAATCCATTTTTTTCCATAATTGACGAGGTGTGTAAGAAAACCGAGGACTGATAGTGATCTTTCTCCCAGCTGCCAAGTTGATTAAAAGTTACTGACAAAAGATTTGGTTTGTAGGCTTCGTCACCTAACATAAAAGACTCTTTTATCATTGTCTGGTCTTTTTCTCGTCAGGTCTCAATTTTCCCCAATTTCCCCTTCATTCTCAATCCATAAAATGGGAATGAAATTTGTTTGTTTTTCTTCTTTGCATGTCTTCTCCAAATATCCAGTAATGCACATGTATAAAATCAATAGTCATCAGTGCCGAAGAACAAATTTCTTAGCAATTCTAGAAGGTTTTACATTTTATGAAGTGGTAGCATACTTCCTTGAATTTATCGATGTCTCTAGTCCTTTCACTTAGAGACTTCATTTCCCCATTGATTTACATGGCAAAAAAGTTGACATCCCCCTAAGGCAAATATTAATCCTGGGCAGCCGTTTGAGAAAATGTTGGCACAGAGAAAAGTGTCAAGGCACATTGAGTTCGCTTAATGGAAGTCCTATGCTCATATTGTATGGAAATTGATGATATTTTCTCTCCTCTTCAGAAATGCTAAGAAGTCGGGGTCGGCATTAATTTTTCCAATGTGTGCATTTTCACAGGTGATTAAGCAGCTCTGAGAGAATTAGTCTGGAGGAAGTGTTGTGAGAAATGGTGTCCAGGCCAAGTCTCATTACTGGCACTGGGAAATTGATCAGAATACAACAACCCAGAGTAAAAAGTCTGCAAACAGGAGTGAGATGAAAATCTTGTCAATTAACTTCAGGACTGACTTTTCAGTCCTCTTTAGAATGTCAAGATTGAGAGAGAAAATAATACTAAGGCAAAGCCATCTTATTTGATGTCACAGTTATAAATTATTAGCATTGTGCTTGCAAATGCCTCTCTACTACTGTAAATATTACTGATCTCTTTCTTGCCAGTTGCATGGTCAATTGATTAATTGATATTAATAAAAAGTTGTCTGGTGCATTTGATAGATTACATTAACCAAGGGAAGATATGTTTAAAATCCAAAAAAAAAAAATAAATAAATAAATAAAATAAATAAATAAATAAAATAAAATAAAAATAAATAAAAAATAATAAAAATAATAATAAATAAAATAATATCAGCTTTTAAAGTAAGCAGAAAATTTTATTCCAAAGAAATTAATGATAGACTTTATCCTAAAACCTGGTATTTTTTTTTTTTTGTCTCATGGACACTTCTAGTTGATAATTAGTTTCTCACCTCTCTCATGTTTAAATAAGTATAAAATGAAAAACAAAAATCATGTTTGTGCCTTATTTTTTCGATAAAAAGTGAGAAATGTGATAATCTTGTTCACACATATACAATGTATGATGCTGTATTTGATAATCTTTTTTTCTTACTTTTTTATTTCACATATTATATCACATTACAATCCATTTTGAAATTGCTTTTAAATTGAAAAGTAACAACCAAAAACAAAACATGCGTGATGACAGGCATTACTGTTCAAATTGCACTATCTTAGTCAGAAGTCATTAAAAATGTCGGATATGCCTTTTCTTAATGGAGGTGAGAGGGGTTATCACTGTGAGTGCAGCTGGACACCTGAAAGGACTGTATTTCATTCCTTTAATTGTAATCCTTTCCTGCAATCATTTCTCCTCATAATTACTGAAATCACTTAGGCATGTTGCACAGCAGCATCGTGTCAACAGAGGAAGAGAAAAAAGATAAATGCACAAAAGAAATTGGAGATGAAAGATTTCCATCTTACATGAATTAACGTTACCAGTGCACCTGCCTCGTTTAAACAATTGTTTGGAATTAACAGAAAGCACGGAGTGTTAGCTCTCAGGTATGTGCAATGGTATAGTGATCATTGCTTCTCTGCCTTCATACCTGAATAAACTTAGAGACAAAATGGAAGGGAAGGGTGAAACACAATAGAGCATATTTTAAGTACTTGGAACTATCAAGTGGTTGGAGTGTAATTCTTGCCACATGCTGGGGAACCTTATTGAAGCTAATAGGGGCCAGGAGATCAAATTACACTATGACAGTTGCTCCTTTTAAAATTACCCATATGACGAAGTCTCAATGTTCCCTTTGCTGTTATTAGCTAACACACTAATGACCTCTTCTATACCATAGTGCACACAATTCGTAAAATTACCCTTATGAGAAATCTCAAGATGATAATTTATAGTTATGTAACAAAGTAATATATGGTCTTATGGTAGCAGATACTTGACATTTATCCTTATAATAAATGATTACAGAGCCATGAATGGCTAGATTATGTTTGGGCTCTTGATTTTTGCACTTGTTTTACTTTTTCTTTGAGCATTCTAAATTCAACTTTCTGCCTTTGGCCCATACTTGACTTAATAAAAAATATTTATTCAGTTTTATTTGAGTGGTTTTGGGAGAGATTAGGAGGTGGTTAATGACTAGAAGAAGGTTAATGACTCACAGAAAAAAAAAGAATAAAAAAAAACATACCTGACAAAGGTACCACCATATTTGACACAGAGTCATTATTGTTTTTTTTTACACCTGAGACAGTTGATTCTTTAAAAAAGGTTCATGGACATTGAATGGTGTTCAACCACAAACAAAAGGCTTATTAACAATGTGGAGGAAGTGATGGTATACCCATTTTCATTTGACTAAAAACAAAACAAAAAACTTGACAATATTCATGCAAAATAGTACCAGCATCACATACTAGCTCAAGGAAAGACTCTTAATGTGTGAGGTGGCATACTTTTTTGAAATGTTTCACTGTTTTCAAATAAAAAAAAACTCTAGAAATTTATCTGTATAAGAGTGAAAGAGATAGCAAATTATTTGTAATATACAGTTTAATTTCATTAAGATTTTATAGTATCACAAATTGTCAAATACCTGTTTCATGTCAGATGGGGCAGTTTGATTATTTTTTCCCCTTGCTTATCAAAACAAAAACCATCAAGAAAATAAAGTGTCCTGACTAAATGGGCACTTAATCTTAAATCATTACAACCGCGATGTAGGGATATGATTATCGCAGCCTGTTAGACCAACTAATTGAAGGCAATTGGAAAAGGAAGCAGTGGTTGCTGGTAGAATTAGAAGAAAACCAGATGTGTAATAGATGAAGTGATGAGTATAATCGTCCAACTTAGTATCATTAAAGTCATTGTCCACACCTTGCTAATTTTTTTTTCAGTTCTCAGCTCATGTACCCTTATCCAATCATTTCACCTGAGCATCTTAACTGCAGTGTCATACTAACTGGGTAATTGCAAACAAGTGGGAAAACTGTCAGCCAAATAACATACTTGAGACAACAAACAGCTTTTGTATGAAAAACTCTGACAGTTGGTTGCTCATAGAATATATGTATATGCCTTTGACTTAGCCAGTAGCCTTCCACTTCTTCCTTCACCTCCATGTTTTATTTATTTAGTTAGTTAGTTAGTTAGTTGCAAATTCAAAACTTGAAAAAATATTGTAAATTCTGTTTATTATATTAAGGACTGCTTGGCAATTTTTTCTCTTAAAGTGAACCCTTGAATTGAATTAATATATAAAATTTAATCAGAATGGAGACTTTCTATTCACCTAGCCAAGTCCTTCTTATGATTGCTTATACTTTATTATATAGATTGACTGTAAAATAATTACCAATGTTTCTAACTGTGATGTTCCTTGACTGATGTTACACCAGTACACTGACTCCAATGCATCTTAGGAAGGCCAAACTCATGTTTTTTTACGTGCGCTACCCAAGTTCTGCCATTTTAAAAATATATTTTCCGGACATCCGCTTCAACAAGAGCAACACAGCCCAGCTTGTGAAATGGTTCAGCAACTTCAGGTAAGAGGAGAAAAAATTTTATAAATATATTTCTTAAGCACATTTTACCATGTTTCATCAGTTCAAGCTTGTGTGTTTTGAATGATGCATTTCATTGAACTTTTTTGTTGTTGTATTTAGACAAAAACAATATGATGTTGCCTTGGTTGTGGTTGATGTATTTTAGTGAAGAGTTTCACTTCAACATTTTTTATTAAAAAAAGTGTTGTAAAAAACAGATTGTGTCTGGAAATAACTGTGGCATGTGGTTTTACATTTTCATTGATGTTTTCATGCAATATTGCAACAAAATATTTGCTAATTCTCAAACAATGTTTTGTATACTAAATTGATAAAATTTCTTTTAAAAATACCATACATGCAAAGTTGATGTAACATTTTTTTCACTGCTATCTGAAAAGAAAATTTGTAAATTGCACTGAAAGTAACTTAGTACTCCTAAAAAGTTACTAATGAACAAAGCCCATATGTGAGAAAAGGGACCCATACAGAAAATGACATCCAAAGTTGCGAGCAAGGAACAAAATTGTCAAAACCATCGCCTAATTAGAGGACTACTCTATCCTAATAGCTTTTGCTCCTGGAGCTAAGCCTCCAAGGAGACTAATTAAGAAATATCTTGTAAATGAAAGTGCTTGGAAATTCGCATAATTCTCTAACCTTAACCATCAGTCATCTGTTTGCAAACATATTTTCTTAATACCTTGCATTTACTTATCAATTATTGATACAAGCAAATGTATCCCTCTGGGCTCTGCACAACCATTAGAGAACCACACAGAGACGCATCAAAGGCTGCATAAACTGACTGCAGACAAGATTGAAGGCACTTGCTGGCAATTGGCAAAGTAGTTTAGGGATAGGAGTGTTCAGTAGGACAAAAAAAAAAAAGAATGAGATCAATCCATTATATACATGGTGATGTCTTACACTTAACAGTTTCTGTGTTACTTGCTCATTTGGGTAATAACTCTTTAAGAGCATTTCTTTACAATAGTCAAAATTCAGTCTTAGTTTGATTTTGTCCATTATTTGCCATATTAAAAAAATGATATCTACTTGATGTAGTTCATTTTTGTAAGGTGAGAACTGTGATAGTTGAATTCAGATGTGATTATTTTGTTATTTCTATTATTTAAACATTTTATTTTTTAAAACTATGAATCCATGTACCGTGGCTAAGTTCCAAAGCAAGAAAACCAAGCCATATCATAGGTCTCTCTCAATCCAATTGCTGGAAGCCTGTTAGCCAATTCAGTAATGACCAGAGATATTTCAAATGTCTGTATTTTGTTATCACTTAATTCTTCGAATAGGATTGACTGTTGGCAGTAATGCTGCTCACCCTCACTAGATTGCACATTAAGAAATCATGTTTATTGCCATTTTCCATCTTGGCCCTGACTCCTGCTGTTCACTAGATTTCATTTTCTCTGTCCCTGAAGACTTCATCTGAAAGCTGTTTCTTGTCTTAAAATTCAGTTATACTTTGTGGAATGAAGCATGCACTCTTTGTCTTGTAAGTGATAGTGAGAGGAGTTGGGCAAAGTGAAAATCTATAAAGTTACAAAGTTAACAATCTCATACATCAATGCCAAATATGACAGAGAGCGGTTTTTAAAATCAAACTCAGCTGGCAAAACTTCTCAGGATCTTCTTTTTATTTTGTTAGATGTGCTGTCAAGGTCTGATGTTATTTGGTGATGACAATTCTTAAATGCTTTGATGTTGTAAATGTTGCCAGAACACTTAAAACTCAAACTTCCTATTGTATTAATAAAAATAAAATCACACAGAAAAAACACAGAAAAAAGTTTTCACCAGCAGAATCAACATTATTTCATAGTGTACGTACATTGGATATTTGTCCCCCACATTATTTAGCTACTTCCCCATTAAGAAGGCTAGACCTTAAAAAGTGTTAAAACATATGCTGAGATATATCGAAAGATTAATGGTATTAATGATAATGACATAACAATTGCAATAATGATCATAGTTATAATAGTAAGTAAACTCATTAAAATTCAAGACCACACCATTGTATGCCAGGAAGTGCAGGTAATTATTGAAAAGCTATAGTTTCTAGTGTTTGATTGTGTTATCAAGCAAAGCAACAATGGAAAATTGCATTTGTTTTTTTACAACCTGAAGTTTGAGTCCTGTTTTACTTATGGTGCATAGTATGGAATTTTCTCACACTTGACAAATTTTCTTGAGATAAAAGGTATTTTTCTCTGACTAACCAACGTTTGATTCTCCTTTACTGACACTCACCATAACTCTGTAACAATCTGGGATAATTAAAAAGTCCTTAACCCACAAATAAGCGATGCTTTTTTTTTTTTTTTTCTAAATCTGCAATCCCTTCGAGCACAATTCTTGCACTGATGTACAAATTCTTTGTGACTTAAAACTTGTTCAAGATGGGGTTGGTTCATCAGGAGGTGGTTAGTTTAATTGTTTTTTTTACATTAAACTAGGGCATGTATCTGTTAAAAATGACCCAAAAGAATTACTTGTCTTCAGATAAGTTCAACAAGAAGTGCTTTATGAACATAAGATGTGTTGTTGTTGAAATTCTTATACTTTAATATCACTTTATATCAAGACTATTACAAAATAGGATATCGTGAAGTATCAAAAAGCACAAACAAGAATGATCATATCTGTTGCATGATAGCTGTTTTAAATAGAAGTATTACAATACTATTTGCTTTTCAAAAAAGAATGATTAAATCTGTTGTATTATATCTGTTTTATATAGCTGTATTACAGTACTATTTGCTTTTGATAGAAAACTTGCATGTGGCTTACCGTATGTCAGAAAAAGTGTCTAGAGCTATAATAGGGGCTTTTACAGCTCCAGCAACTATGGGACAACATCAGATTAATAACAAAAGTACAACAGAAATATTATATGTTCCGAACATTACTTCTTTCAAATGTTAATGCGTGTGCCGAAAAAGGGCCCTGTATCTAAAAAGCAAAATATTTTTGAATAACTGAGATTTTACTGGATCAAAAAGATCAAATTTCAATACTCGGTTGTAGTAGGAGTGTGATATCATTATTTGAAACCTATCTTGAACAGGTGATCAGTTATGATTGTGCAGATTGAAAACTTAAATGCTCTCCCGATCACGATAAAACCAGTAAAAGTCTGGAAATAGAAGTCATCTCCAGCCCGAGCGTGCCCTCAACACAGAGATAAGAACAATGCCAGCTCCTGACCAGGAGATAAACTGATCATCTGGCCGTGATCAGCCCAGAAGTTTGCAAGACTACAACAAGATAAGGGCCACACCTGATTCAGAGCCATTGATATCCAGCAGAGTTATCTTCTCCCTGCTATCGCTAAACAATAGTCTGCAGCAGAGCATGTCTAAAACCTTATCACTTTCACCATAAACCACCGCCACCACCATCATCATCAGTGCCCTGTCTTTTCCGTGTCACCAATACGTGTTCACTAGATGTCATTGTATTGTATGCTAAGCCATGTTTATCTTCAGCACAGTTATTCTGATAATCATGACTATATCTAACACCATGCAGGACAAGTATCTTCACCAGCTATGCTTGTTGTTTAAAGTAACATCTGTTTCAGACTTAAATTATTCATTGTATATACTTCCTAATATTCTTATCTTGAATTCAAAGTCTTGTATATGTATATGTATACATCATAGGGTTGGGTTGATGTCACATTATTTTTTTATATACATCTAATGATATTAACATCTCTCTGTTGAACAAATAAATAAATGTTCATCTGTATTTTTTATTTTGTCAGTGCCTAAAACATCTGATTTGTATTTTCATTTGAGGAAGAATAATATCTCACTACCATATGATAGATGGTACCTTGGTCTTATGGTTAAAATGATTCATATTCACATCTTGATACACATCTTGTTTTAAAAGTAAATGAAAAGAACCATTTGTTTTTTCATGTATGTATGAGTCTATGCCATGTGTGTGTGTGTGTGTGTGTGTGTGTGTGTCCGCACACATGCACACAGGTTGTTACACAGAGATGATTGATTTTATCTTGCCACTGGTCTAGTTTAAATGGAGCGAACAGATTAAGACAGCTTGCATGCCGCTTACTTTCATCACCCCAGACTCAAGTTACAAAGTCATCTATAAGATACAAAGGGCTCCTGCCATAATCCATATCAACAGTATTAGTTTAACCAGGTTTAAAGCCATTATTTAATGTTAAACATAGAACTTAACAATGACTTCAGACAGCCCTCTTAGCAGCTTTTATTATTAGTTTCAATAATGCAATGCCTTTGATTCGATTAATTTCTTTCCCTTTTAATGAAAACCCACATTTGCATAAATTGTCTTGATCTGAAGAAAGAAAAAAAGACAGAGCAGTATTGTATTTCTTTTAGTCTAAGATACACAAAAGGGGCGCTAAATTGTGAGAAGGTCCTTGTGTAGACACAGCATGTTACATAGTGTAATGGAGACATTGTTGTTGATCTAGTCATATCTTAACTGGATTAAGGCCGTCGCAGCTTTGTCATTCATTGAGCTTTTATGGATCGATCAATCCCCATGATTCTAGGCTATGCTGTTACATTCTATGAACTTAATATCTTAAATGTTTGCACAAGGGATTGAGGATGAAAGTCCAAGAAAAGATCAGACTTGTAAACCAGGCCTCGGGGTAATTTTCTTACACACGACATTAAAATAATTGTGCAGAGCTAATGTTGTTTAGAAACATGTTTCTGCTAAATTAGATATTAATATCACTTAATGGGGCCTGATAGCTCATAGCTCAAAGCTGACACCACCTTATGTTCAATTTCAATCCATCAAGCGCCATGACAGCTCTAAGGAGTGAAAAAATGGCAGAAGTTAGACAGAAAAGTCCGATCTTCCCACTGTGTATTCTCTGGGTACCCTTAAATGACTTCAGAGACTTATGAAATTGAGCATCCAATAAACTAAGGATAGAGTGCAGGCATTTGTTTGCCTTCTTAATTTCACAAAAGTGATTTTTTTGACCTGTGAATCATTAAGAGCACACCTTGTTTTAACTGAGAAAAATTACTTTCTTTTCTCTTGGGGGATGAAGCTTTTAACATCAACCCATCAGAAGGCTGGTCTCAGAGGGCTGGGAATGGGTTTCTTTCCAAACATAACGCAAGTCCTTCATTATATTCTAATCAAGATGAGAAATTTGTTTTTTTTTTCATAAACTCATAAGAAGTTTTGTATGTAGAGGTCAGATATCAGATGCAAAATTTCCTGTTGAGGCATGCATCAGTTTGCACATACTACGATTTTCCAAATCTTATCCAGACTTTTATCATAGTTTAGTTCAGATGCATTGATACACTGTCAAATGAAGTACTGTTTAACACATTTAAGTTGAAAGATCTAGAGGTGTTTTTAAAGTTAACAAAAGATTTTTTGCCAAGGATTGGGTTGTCATTAAAAATTGAGCTAGTTATCTTTCTAATTTATCTTGTACAAGTGGATTATCTTTTCAAATTACATTTATTTCTTATTTTCACAATACCCAACAGGAAAAAGAAAATGATGTCTGAAGTGATAGCTGACATCAAAATGACATCACCTTATAAACATTTCTAGCATGTGATTATGAATAAGTCACCCAGCATTGAGGAGTGTGCAATTAGAGAGCTTAATGAACAGCGTCCAAGTCGATTTGCTATAGAGCTTTGATCAAAAGTCATCTCAGTTGAGTTTGGCTTAATAAGGGAATTAATAACCTTCTAGTTAGATTCCTAACTTTCTGGATAAATATTTTTTGTGGGGTTCTCATATCCCTGGAGTGTCTCGCTGGGGAAGAGAAATGAGCTTTGACCTTTTTAAAATCTTCCTCTCGAAGCTCGACTTAACAATAGCTATTAAGATAAGAAAGATAATAAAACAATGTAAATTAACTTCAGTGTGAAGAACGTCTTGACTTAAATGTCATGAAATGCCGTGACATGGCATCTTTTATGGGGAATTTATTGAGCATGAGCAAACTTTTCATTAAGTGTGGATTTTTGCTCCTGTTAATGTGCAGTATTGATTTCTTTAATTGAGTGTTAGAAGCTACTAAGGGGGTGGACCTTGTTAAGGGAGTGACCATTTTTTCTTGTAGTGTACCAAAAGGCTGAGCAGAGGCAATGACAAGGTTGTGATATTCTAGGGCCAGAGCCTAGATCTAGCTTATCCTCGGTGGGAATAAAGATAATGTGTTTTCAAATAAGATATTTACCAAACTCCTAGGAGAAACATGATGTTAACAGAGATGATCAGACCATAAGTTCTACTGGTCGTTATTTTCAATATATCATACAAAAATCTGATGGTATCCTAGCGGCCAAACAGAGAGGAATATTCAATCTGAATGCTCTGTTTGTCAGTGTGGTGGAAGAACTACCGGTATTATACATGTAAAGTGTATGTGCATGATGTGTATTTCTGCCATAATGGTATTCTCTTTTTCTTTTATATTAAATGGATTTATATTTTTGAAGAAAACGTTTTGAGCTTGTGCTTCTCTAATTATACCTGTTATCTGTTATAGTGCTTCAGGTCCTCTCACTGTAGGGAAAAAAAAACGCCTGAAAAATTAAGACCATGACAATCCTTTTAATGAAGAATTCAGTCTCATTACACATGACTCCATTTGATTCTTTCCATAAAAGAAGTTTTCGCACAGATTGTTTCATTATGTTTGCCAGAGGAAAAGTAGACATATGTCTGTATTAAAAAATAGCAACTGCCAGCATCTCATATATCAGACAATTCCCCCCTTTGTTTTCATTTTCAATATAATTTTTCTGTCATAAGAAGAGAATAAACAAAGACGTGTCCCCAAAGATGTCGGATCAGCCATTAATCCATAAATGCTTATGACTAACTATTCTAGAGATGTATTTTTACTCATGAATAATTTGTTAAGTCCTTAGATATGTTGTGTCTGCAGCCATGCATGCACATGGTTTTCACCCTGATGGTTTGAGAAGAGTGTGGGATTACCTGGCCTCCTTGTGCAGGTCCTTTGTGCTGTGTCTACAGAGCCCAGAAGTCTGGATAGTTAAAGTGGCACAAAGAGTCTACAAGATGTACATCCATCTGTAGTTCTAGTCACCAAGGGGCCGACTTAATGATGATTAAAGTAATTCTGTATTGGGGAATTTCATTTCCAGAAAGGCTTGTAATTGAGATGATTATAAAGCAATTGTCGAGTAATTTCCAATTTTGAGAAATGAGAAAGATTACTTATTGACATCGCACAGAGGTGATATATGTCTACATGATGTTGCACATAATCTTTCTCAGTGGGGCCCTCATGGGAAAAGCATGTTTATAGGAGTAAGTTAATATCTTGGCATTAAAGATAATTTCTATCCATTGTGTCTTTGTTTGGAGACTGTCTTCTCAGTGCTTTCACTTCCTAATGTGATATTTTAACATGACTCTAAATTCGATAATTGTCATACATAGTGGCTAAACACGTACCATTACTAGTAGTAAATTTTTTTTAGTTGAGCAATTGCTAAGTTTCTAGAGAAAATTTAAGAAAACTTTGGCTGATGAAATGTCAAATTTTGGTCGTTGACTTTGTAGATATTTTAATCTATATCCTCTTCCTTTGAAGGCTTTTTAGGTTGTCATAAATAGTCACAAATTTTGCCTTCATGTATATGACTGCTTTGCCAGTTGCTGTTTGATTTATATGCTCAAGAAAAAAAGTTGTGTCTGATATTAAATTTAGATGATGGTATATAAGGGGTTTAAATATACTGGCCACTTATGAAGTACTCAAGGAAACAAGTTACACAGAGAGAATGGAATAAAAACATGAAGTGTCCCTTTAAATACAACTTCAACTCATATTAATAGATTAAAATAAACAACAATGACTTTGGTCCCTCCTTGACTTTATGTACTTCCTGAAAGTTTTTACTTTCCCTCTATACAAGTATATCTGTTACATATCAACACGAGTGCGAACCTTGATTACAATTCCTTATTAGCAATTTTATCTAATTTTCGTAATAAAGATTAACATATAAATCATGAACAATAACCAAGGAGTGACAGACAATCATTTTCTCAATAGGTTCTCTTCCCTTTATTTCAGACTAAAAGACCAAAAGATAATTTCCTGGGTCCCAATTTTCATAGACTCATTATGTTACTCTATTTCCATTTCTGCCATCTGACTTTGCCGTAGATGGTTCATAGCTGACGAACTGAAGATGACACGGCAATTTAAACATTGTAGAAAATTATTAGGAAATGGCGGGAAATTACCTTGTTATTTTCTAATAATAGTAATAATTCTCTCACTTAGTCTTATTTCCAGGGAGATACTAAAAGTTCCTCCACAGATCACACAGGGATGGGAAAATTACCGTTTCAGGGTCATCAGTTGAAAGTAATGGGTTGTTCAGAGGGAAGTGATGAAGTGTCAAGTTACCCTTGGCAGTTTTAGAAACCTGGATTATTTTATTTTCTAATTTATATTTTTTTCAATGAAAAAAATTGTAGAATTGACTGTTGCCAATTGAATGCAACATTGGATGTCCTGTATACAGCAGATGATATGCCTAAAAATTGAAACCTTTATTTCCTTATTTCCTGGGTCATATATTAAATATCTGGTCATTTGATTTTTCTTTTGAAAAGTGCAAAATGACCTACAAGCCAGATGGATCAATCAACTTGCTTTGCCAAGAGCGAAATATACAAAGGTGCTTTAACATCCTCAAATGTTCTTAATGTTAGGGTACCTGTATTCCATCATTTCCATGACTTGTTCATTTTTTCTTAGATAAAGTTGTGGTGATTTTGGGATAAAACATATTTGCCCTATGGTCACAAATGACTTTATGTGATGCATGGAAAAATTAAGTGTATGTTAGAAATGTGACTCTATTGTTAATCTATTTCTAGGATACAGTATGTCCTAATAATATCCTGTTTCTCTGAAAAAATAAAGCAAATCTTCTGACAACTTTTTTCATCATATTTTTAGAAATTCTACTCTATCCAAGTGACTATTTGTAGCCACTAAAAAGGTTTAAAAACTTGAAAAAATAAAACAAATATTTATAAAATGACTTCTATTTTTTCAATTTATTCCAGGGAATTCTTCTACATACAGATGGAGAAGTATTCTCGCCAGTACCTTGCTGAGGGCACCCAAAATGCAGATGAACTTCATGTCACAGTTGAATCAGAGTTGTACCGGGTTCTTAACCTTCATTACAACAGGAACAACCAGATCGAGGTAAGATATGGAATTTTTTTTTGTTAAATCCTTCTTTGTCAGTCTTTTAGATAGAGGTAATACTGAAAAGGGTATAGATAAATTTATGTTTATCTTCTTTCTTTTTTTTTGGGGGGGGGGGATACATTATGATATATCATATATTCATTATTTATATCTCTCTTATCTTATGAATATAAATTTGGTTTTTATATTATGTTGTTGGGATCACAGTTTCAGTTTTAAATTCGGCTTTTTCCTTTTTCTTCCTTTTTTTTTATCCTGTAACATGCAGGGCATCATTTATTAAACATTAAGAATATGCCGCAAAAATGTGCACCATTTCTGTATCCAGTATATTGCATATAACACTTGTTAACCTGTGCTAAAGGAAGCATATTCTCTTCATTCAAATGCAAATTTATAAGCCCCTGATCATTTGGAAATAAAAAAAGGCTCTGGAATGAAAAAATGTAAATAAAAGTTAGGTGCACTAGGTGATTTCTTGAAAGATAAAATGCAGATGATGGTTTTGTCAGAGTTGGGTAAAAAAGCAACAATTAGGAAGTAAATAGTGGTAAAATTTAATTGGCAGAATCTAATGTAGCTCTGGGTGTACCTGTTTAAAATTACATTTAAATCAAGGAAAATGATATTTGCATCTGCCTTTCTTGGATATCGATCTCTGTCATATTTGATATTTAACAGAATGTGGTTATTAGATTAAATTGTATTCCATACCAAGACTAAGTCTAATGGCTGGCAGCACTGATCTTTAGGCAGATCATAGACTGAAAAGAATTTGTTCTGTTTTCAGTTTCATTTAGAATATCTCATTTAGAATAACCATTTCTGCACATTTACATTTATTTAGAACAGACTACTAGTACCATTGTGTACAGGTGTTATTCTATTGTTAATAAGATGTTAGACAAGATACTTATGCAGTTTGAGCACTGTCATGTTGGGAACTCGGAATGCTGGGTCACTTCACCATCATGATTTTTTTAGAAAATGGATTATTTAGGTTGTCCAAATATTTACAATCATTATCAGGGTACCTGTATTGTACAAGAGAGTTAACATTTATTTCAAATAAAAACTGGAATCCCTTTTTAAAGATCCTTTAAACTGAATGGACTGGGTATTTTTTTTCCTTGGTGCATATGGACCTCAGGGCACTTATTAACAAACTGCATTCGCATAAAGAAAAATATGCATTATAAATAGTATTGAAAATGGAAATGTGTCCTTGATTCACCAGAGTAATGAATCTCTATAGAAGAATTTTCAATTCTTCATCAAGGAAGTGATGAATTTCCCCCTTACCTTTTCTTATGCATCCTTGCATAGATGAAACCAAAAATTAAAATCATTATCATCTATATATGTAATGAATGATTTATAATTAGTGAACCACAGTGCAAATGAAAAGGGGCTGTGTATGATTCATTCAAAACAGGAAGCACTAGCTTTGTGTACAAGTTTAAATGTATACATATACACCAATATATTCCATGGTAAAAAGTTTTTCAAGTTGCAGGCAAAAAGTCCAAGAATAATATAGTCAACAAAGGTTTAGCTTGAATAATAAAACTAGCTGTAAAATTGATCTCAAACTGCATGCATGGGAACTTGAAATGTGTGTTAATGTTTTCACACAGTTTTAGAGATGGTTTTATTTCACCTCTAGGCTGTAAGTACCTTATGGTGACAAGACTTTCTTGTATCAGGGGAATTTCTGAGAACTAACGTTCAAATGGCCACCTGTTTGAATGCACGTCTAATATATCCAATTCTTTTATATTTAGAATATTATTTATTTATTTATTTATTTATTTATTTATTTATTTATTTATTTCATAGTGTATACATTTCTAAAATTTCATTCTTTTAACTCTGTTTTGATATACTTTAAAATTATAAATTTATGAAAATGTTATAATTTGAATGGAAATTCTTATATGTATATTTTTAGTTCATTTATTTATCCTTGTCCCTTTCTCTTCATTACTTGTGAAACATAACAGTAAAGCAGAGAGCAGTCTGGGGTCTGATTTACTCCCTGTGTGAATTGGTCCCCCAGGCCTTATTACTGGTGTAACTCCCAGGGAGACTCGATCCTTAAGAGTTTTAATTCCTCCTTGCCTTTATTATAAAAGCCTGTAATTTAACAGTTGAAATAAACTTAAGTGACCTTGATATATACTCTGTTTTCCTGCCTGACACCTTTAGAGATTGCCTGAGAGGTAGATGACTCAACTTGAAGATTTAACCACCTGTTGTTAATCCAAGCACCTGTTTTCTTCACATTGCGTAAAGAAAATTATGTTTGGAAGTGCTAAAAAAATTTTGCCTTTTACATCCAGCCCTCCTCAGCCTGAGAAAATGTAGTGAGGAAAATTTGCTGAAAGATATGTTCAGTAAAGAATAAGAAACAAATAAAATTTTGTTAAAACCTTCATTATCAGTCTACATCATTCTCAAATAAGGTTTTGAATTATCTTAGATGACTGTTATGGTTAAAAAATGTGTACTTTACAGCCAAAGAATGTAGCTTAGATTTTTCTCTGTTATAAAATGTACTTAAGATTTTGTTCTGTCATGTAAAGAATATCACCTTTCTCCTGTAATCTTCAAAGGATGCAATAGTGACAATAATGGGAATTGCCTCCCATTAAGAAAGAATAGATCAGATTTCACTTTGTGGATTTTTTGAGCATGATACATGCATTAGATGTACTCTGTTTCAAGGTAAGAGAGAAATCTACATAAAAACCTTTCCACAGTACAAAATCATTAAGATCAAAGGTGACAGGAGGAAACAGTTTGATAGCGCCACTCACAACTTGCCTGGAAGAAAAGACTAACTGTTTCATGTCCGCAGGTGAAACAGCACCGTTAGACTAAGCTTCTGCGTGGCATAGTAATGATGTTATTACGACAATGAAAGGATGTTTCTCGCAGTTGGAAAGTAATCGTGCACGTGGCTGAGCTCGTAGGAGATGTCTCAGCCTTGTGTGAGGGGCCGCAAGTGCTTGGACCACTCTGCCAGAAAAGTCTAATAACTGCACAATGATCCTGACATGCATGGCAAATGTTCTTTTACTGTCCCTATAAAATGAACATAAAATGTCTGTTTTTTTTTCCTGGCAGTTAAAGTAAGGTTTTGCGATGGGAAAAAAGCCAAAGGGGGCAGAAGAGAGACTTGTTAGACATTTCCTTTCCCAAATGTTTTCTAGGCCTCCCATCCCTTGCTGTCATACATTGCTCACATATCTACATGTTTTTGCCTTTTTTCTTTAACATGAACTCTCTTGGCATTTCTTATTTACTTAGTTTCAACAACAATCTTTCAGTATTTTAATATGAATTCTAATATTCTTGTTGCCTAAGAAATAATATCAACATTTCAACAGTAGGTTATTTTTGTCTACAATTTTACTTAATGCTGACATTAAAGGCCATAACTATGGTTAAATATAAAAATTAGGATGAAGGATGAATATTATAAGATATAGTCTCAGATATAAATGGTGTGGATCGCTTTCTCTTATTACAATGCTTTAATTAGCACATCCTAGCTGAACATTTTATGGAAATGAGAGAGTGAAAAAATATTTAAATGAATTTTTTAAAAACCTAAACTAAGTTTTATTTTCACTGATTTCAGTTTCATAATTTGAAAATATAATTAAATATTTTAACCATAATTCACTCTCAGGTTCCAGACCATTTTCGCATAGTTGTCCAGTCTGCACTGCGTGAATTCTTCAAGGCAATCAGCACGAGCAAAGACTTGGAGCAGTCCTGGAAGAAGGCCATCTATAAGGTAATTGCACGACTTGATGCACCTCTGCCAGATTTCTTCAAGTCACCAAATTGGATGGAACAGTTAGCCGATTGAAGAATGAAAAGAGAGAGATTAGACAGAAAATTAAAATTGTTATAAAAGAAATATTACAGTATCTGCTTTCATTACAGCAAGCTGAAATGTTGAGAGAAAGTGATGAAAAGGTAGAGAAAAAGATTGTCATTAATTTTGCTGGAGGTTGAAAGATTTTATGAAGTTTAGTGTGAACAAAATGCTCAGGCTTTGCATGGACAATTGGTTAATGTGTGCAAAAAATGAATACGTTATAATTTTGTTTAGTTACTATTAATTAAATAAGGCTTAGTTATTAAGTAAATAAGGGTTAGTCATGAAGATATATTTTGGTTATGTAAACTATTACCAGACTTGGTATTCTGTGAAAGAATTATGTTTCCTTATATATATATACTTAGTTGACAATCTTAGTATTTATTTAGTACTTTATTTAGTTTAAATATGATTTATTGAAATATTTGATAATAAAACATTGTGTCAGGACATGGAGTAGGCTAGAAGGTACTAGTACATAATTTAACCACAAAAACTTGTGTGCCTCCCTCCCCCCCCCCCAAAAAAAAAAAATAAAATAAATAAATAAAATTAGATAAATAAATAAAAAGTAAGAACTATTACATTTGGCCAGTGCAATAAAATGATTAAGGTTAATTGTATTACAATCGATAAGTTAATGATAAGAGACTTCCTTTTCTAACCTTCCTTTTCACATGAAAAATTTAATATATTAATTACCCAATTCCTGTTTTGTTCAAGCTGCTTCTTAGTACATATGCAAATTGGAAATTTCTATCAATAACCCTTAGTGGGTTTATCTCAATTGATGTCTCCAAGTTTTTATCAGTGAAGATTGACATAAAAGTAACTAAACTAGTCATGTCAAACATCAGTTGATATCCGTGGGATGTAGAGATTTGGAAAGACATTCTAAATTCCCCATTTGGAATATCTGTTATGTCTGCTCAGTAGAGAAAGGTTTGAGTGGCAGATATGGGGACATGCGATATACATGGCAGACGACAGAGGCAAAGATGTGTGTAATGGCAGCCGTGAGACATCCTCTGGCTCATGTTATCTGGAAAACCCCTGTCTTTGCAGATAATCTGCGGTCTGGTTATCTGAGACTGAATGTCTTCGGAGACAAGTGTCTGCCGAACATGTATTCTATCTTTCTGTAAATGAAAAGCGTCTCTTTCCATGCTGGTCCTTCAACATTTGCTGACACTTTCATGGTGGTCCTTTGATGTTTCCCATTTTTCCAAATCCTTTGTGAAAAGCACAAATGGCAAATATGATTGTTTTATATTGATAAATATAATTGAGATCAGTACATATTTGAAGTTTAAAAATATCAAAATCTTATTTTTCAGCAATCAAAATATTAGTAGCCATTCAAGCACATCCAAGATTTCAAAAAAAATTATCATTCTTCTTACTCAAAAGAAAATTATCGAAACATTTATCTATCTAGTGTCTGCAGCCTTTCCAATGTCCACAGATGTCTGTACAGAAATCCCTGCCCTATCCTGGATTAACATGGTTTTACATGATAGTTATTTGATTGAGTCCAGATTAAGATAGGCAGTCCATTAACAAGTAAGTAGGAGGGGTGAACGATCCTAAGCTAATAACAGATTGGAGAACCATTGGCCTTTTATTATGAAGGCTCCCATTAACAGATTGGAAGGGGGCTTTAAGCACAGCCAGGACAATAGATTTGATATTTACCACCACTTTCCATGATATCAACTAAAAGAATGTATAGGTTAATTTATTGATTTGCTTGAAAATGCACATAGACACTCCCAGATTTCTGTTAGACTTTTTCATATAAAGAACCATTCTTTAATGAAGCTTTTTATCCATTGTCATAAGTTAACATTACTTGTTATTAAGATTTGGGCACATGGTGTTTAGAATAAGGAGGTGACAATTTAAGCAAAATAATTTAAAAAAAAAACAAGATCCCCTTGTGGATGAAGATATTAAGTAAAATAGCAGCAGAAAGACACCTGGAGTTAGGAAACTAAGGGTATTCTGTTCATCATATGATAGGTCAAACACAAGCATGCACGCACGCACGCACACACATGCATGACCACTTATCAGGTTTCCCCAATCCAGATCACAGGCTTGTCTCCCATTGTAGTATTGTTGTCTCTTGAGTTCAATCAGCCTTATCCAGAGTAATCAAGTTAACAACTTCAGGTGACAATCTCTGAAGATTATACAAGAACTGCATTGGTGACTGATCCAGTTTCCCATTCATAACACCTTACTGATGTCTCCCTCGTCTGCTGGCTGTCTCCACATTTCAAACATCCCAAGTCATCGCCCTTGACTGGTATCTTGGTGCCCTTTGCTTCCGTAGACATAAGGGTCAAGAGAACCCAGGGTTTAAACTACCAGAACAAATAATCAAAAGTCTTATTCGAGATATGTGAAAAACTGTGCAAACACTGCATAGGTATGTCAGCGATTAAGAGACTACAACATCTATTTGTGGCTTGGGAAATGCTGTTTATATCATTAAACACTCATGGCAAAGTCAAAAAGAAAAAATTGAGACCACTGATTGAAAATAAGAAAAAATAAGATTTTTGACTCCCCTTCTGTGTGTGCTTAGTAAAGGGAAAGTTTTAAAATTTTGCCGTACAAGTGATTTTCCTTTATGAAATTTAATGTTTTATTATTGTTTGCAATTTAATGATTTTAAAAAGTACAATTCAACATGATGGTGATTGAAATACTTTTGCTCATTCAATGGCAATCTGGTCTTGGCAATCTTAATTTTTACTTGACTGGCTTTCAATAATCCGTAATACCTAAAACTTAAAAAGCTCGAGTATTGCAGCCCTTTTCAAGTGTTTTCTTAAAAGAAACTTTACTACACGTACATTGTAAAGGTACTAGTTCTTTTGTAAGATTAAAAGCATGGAGGGGGGGGGGGGGGGAGGGGATACATTGGATAGTGTAATTTTTTTCCTGTTGTATATAAAAAGTTTTTAAAAATGGTGTGGTGAAGTGAACCAGTACAAAAGGTTAGCTTGTTGATCATCTTGTGATCTTTGAGTCTATCAAGAGATAGATTTTGTTATCTTTGCTTCATGAATCAGACTGAAAATAAAGATTGTTCCCTTGTCAACCTAAAACAAGACTGAAGTCCTGATCACAGGTTGTAAGGGCCTTGATGAGGAAAAAAAAAGAAAAAGCAATGATTTTAAATTTGAAAATAGCATCAAGAAGCGTTCAGTTCTTATTTTGATGATAATATTAAGGAGAAATTGTGCCTTTTCTCTAGGATTGATATAAATGGAAAAGATGGAAAAGATTTAGACAATCATTATGGGATATCCTTTTTTTACTAGATGATTTTATTTACACTTAGAGCCAGATGTACCTTGAAAGAGTGCAGCATAAACCAAAGTTGATTTAATTACTTTTTAATGTTTTTTCCATAGGTGAAAGGGTTTTAATTTTTTTTAATTTTGAAAAATTATCAGTATTTCCTATATGATATACATAATATGTATGTATTTATTAATGGTTGGTGTTAATTTTTGCCATTTTGTAAAAATGTGATATCTTAATGTAGAGTCAATTGGTGATGGATGAAATTTGTTGTTTAATTACATATTTTTGTGAACTTATATAAAAATAATTTTTTGAATTATTTCATTTGTTGTATTGATTATTACAAAAGCTGATTACCTCAGTTGGATAAAACTATGGTTAAAGTTGCCATAAGCTTATTTACTGTAAGTAGGTAGGATAAAGTTATATATGCGTATTAGTATTACATTTTATTTATTACATGTTATAATGATATGTATTTTGTACACAAACACAATCATACTGATCATTCCTGAGATGTTTTTATTGTAAGCTATAGCTAGGTTGTAGTGCTGATTTTCATCCCTGTCGTACATTTTATGGATGTGGAGTTTTTTTGGTGCTGTTTTTTTTATCATGGAAACTGACAACAAGACATTATACTATTACTTGTAATTAATAATCAAAGGCAAAGATATCATTGTGAAAAAAATGGGTCTCTGTTTAAGCCTCGATGGTTATCTTTCAAAGTACATGTTTGTTTTAAGTTTCACATAGGCAAGTGCTACATCCAAATGTGTACTATTCAAACAAATGAATCAAAATTCATTTTAGACATTGTTTTGAATGTGCAATATGGTAATATTTAGGTGTGTCTAAAATCCCCTTCAAGGCACCTTAGCTTATTCTTTAATATCTGTGCAATTGAAATGTCATTCCAAATGGATTGTGTTAAATATATTTAGAAGTAGAAAAAGACATGAAGACTTTTTATAAATGGGTGCTGATGGTGAATAAAACATAATGGTGCTTATTTATGTGTATTAGATTAAAGTAAAGTGAGGTCACCCATCTTCCTTTTTTCAGAATTAAATATCAGCCCCAAATTCATTACAAAAAGAAAAAATGGTTAGGGAAAAGAAAAGAATAGGTAACAGAAGAGCAAAGAGACAAATAGTTAAAAATCCTTTAATGAAAGTTTTTTGTCCATCGATTAAGAACTGATATGATGCTTTTGCTTTATGCTACATAAGACCAATAATATTGTAATACTATTGTTTTTTTTTTCATTCTTTACAATTTCACTGCTCATGCTTCTTTTTTATCAGGGACTGTTAAGATGTTCTATGTCTTGAACATTAACTGTCCCTGCATTATGTCAGTTCCTCAGGTAATGTGTGAGAAAAAGCCAATTTTTGAGAAATACTTCTAACTTTAGATTTCTAGATGTATACATCTTGTATATTTGAAAATCTCATAGGCAAAAGGACACAGCTGACCCTTACTTATCAGCTGGAATATTCATGCTATGAAAAAGTAACCCTTATGTTATACATTTTACATTAGGTTCAGGTAGAAAAGAAGGTAATTGTTCTAAAAGTGGAAGAGTGATTTGTAGAGAAAAGGCTTAATGATTGGCCAGTGA